AGGCCGGGGACAATATAACTGGACGAGTTAGTTGGACGACTTTTGGACGATCCGTATAACAAACTTACTTTTGCTCGTTGAGACCTTGATCCACAAAAGCCGTGATGACCCTCACCTTGGGCACCTTTTTGGCGAAGTTCTCAATACCTTCAGGGCTGGCAATCAGGTTCAAGAACAAAATACGTTCTTCCGGGACGCCTTTGCTCTTCAGAACCTCGACTGCCATGATTGCACTACCACCGGTCGCTAACATAGGATCCAGGAGCAGCACCCATCGATTCTGAACATCCGGGGGAAGCTTTTCGTAGAAAAGCTTTGGTTTGCTCGTTTCCTCATTGCGCTGGATCAGGATTTTGCCTATCCTCACCGACCGGCAACATTCTCTCAGACCTTGCTCCATTGATTCTCCTGCTCGCATAATGGACACACCGCAGATCTTTCCTTCAAATTTGACCCCAACATAGTCCTTGCCGACAGGAGATGTGACGGTGTGTGTAACGACTGGAAGGTGATTAAGACCTTCCTCGACCAGAAGGCGAATGATTCGATTGGAGTAGAAGATGAAATCAGCCCGTTGGGTGTTCTTGTCTCGGATCATGCTTGATTGAACAAGTCAGCCACTCTTGTTTCGATGCTGCAGATCTTTATAGTACCCACGTCAGGAGAGCAATCAGCTGAGGAGTCTGAGGCAGGACGTGGACATTTTCCTGCTGGACGCTTTTGGAGACGGTGGCTGTGGGTTTCTCCTCCTCTGGGCGATAAGAAGGCCCAACGCCAACAGCGGGAGACTGCACCCCGTTGACACGCGGGACTGAAGCCATTGTCTGCAAGCAATATGCTGTGACAGACAGCTGAAAGGAGGGATAGCGGCTGCTCGCGTGACCTTTGGAGGAGGGGGATCGCAAGTTAACTCTTGGGATTGAGATGGATGTCTGGCGAAAGTGGGGGGAGGGCGCGAGGCTGGAATGCAGGAATATTTCCTCTGTTGCTATGATGGGAGAAGAAAACAAGACGGCTTCATAGAGCTTCAAGTTCACCAGGAGTCCATACAACCACAGGTGGTCTCTGAATCGACGTCGTGCAAACTCATTGTTGTTCGTCCATGGACTTTTGATCTGTGGCAGATGAGCTGGTGCGCAGCTGCGGGTAGATGCACATGCGCCGAGGAAGCTACCGAAGAAATTTGATCAAGGAAAGTGGCCCGCTCAGCGGGCGCAGCCCTGAGGTTTAACTAAACAGCTCTGGCCATGCTGCCCCGAGCCGCCCGTCGGGGCTTCGGTTTAACTGCGACCGCTGGTTCTAGGTGCTGGGTGATCAGTGATCAGTGATCACCTGGCACTAAAGGGCTGTAAAGGGGTTCTGTTTGTTTATGGGTCTTCGTAGGTACATCACCCCGCATCAACATCGCCATTCGATGCTATCGATCTCCAAAGCTGCCACTCAATGTTATCGACTTTTCGACCTTCCAACTAAGATCAACAGCACTTCAGGATATCTGGCTGCATCTGCACTGAATCCGATATCAAACAATGACCCTTTGTTCCCCTCAGTCTATATGCAGTACTGGGTACCTAAGATACGCGATGGCAGAGTTCTGATACTCGTCGCGCCTATTTAACACAATCCATACTTCGAATGATCCAACCACGTCTGCGCCCCCTCGCCGGTAGGCACCATGGATGGCCCGCCAGTACGTCGAAAAGTGAACATTTATGGCAAAGGAGCCAGGAAGGTTCGAGTTCACGACCTTTTTGACGTCGCTGCGCCGTCACCAGTCGAAGCGACAACAACGACATTTACCTCTCATGCGCCAGCCCTTCCTCGACCCGGTCAAACCACCGACACATCTCATATTGAACTTGAAAATGAAGTGAGAGGTGCGGCAAAAGAACAGTCTAATGGGAGAAAGGAGGATCCTTCGACTGCAACCACTCCATGGCCTCTGACAGCAACCGACTCGACCATGTTTTACCTACACTCCTCAGAGGAGGAACCGGCCAGTCTCAGACCAAAGCCCCCCCTGAAGAAGAGAAAGATAGCATCTGCCAAACCAAGTCAAGCGGTGAATGGTGTGAAGGTGGATAAACCACCCAAGGTCGTTATGACAAAGACAAACGGATTGCGGGCCTTGAATGAAAGTACCAAAGAGAAGCTGCAATCCAAGTCTACGAATGTGAACTTTACGCTCGAACGTTCCGACTCAGCCAATGCCGCTCCTAGAATGAAACGATCATTTAGGGGAGTCACTGCTAGCAGATCAGTTTCTCCTGGCGACTTGGTCCGTCCAAAAGCAACTCGCTCAAAACTGCCTCAACTCTCTATTGTCTCTTCTCCAGATTCTTCAGATTCTTCTAGCAGATCGCGGCCGTCGCAGCGGAGTAGTCCAAAGAGAAAAAGGCGTGTTTCAGACGAGAGTCGCCTAGCCTCGCCCACCCTTAGCGATGTTCATCTGACTGCCTTGCGTTTGACGCCCGATTCGACCTCGCAAAGGTCACACGTCTCATCCGATGACGAGGACATTGGAGATGCCCCCACCAAGCCTGCTGAGAAAAGCCGAAAAAGGTTGGTTGATCGACTGGACGCTCCACGCGCTCAAACCAGGGCCATTGTCTCGCGGACTGCATCATTAAACGCAAGAGAAAGACAGGAGCAACATTCAAATCAACCTAACGGTGGTACCGCACTACCTGGGAGGATTTCAGCAAGCCGTCCGACCAGGGATGTCTCTCATCTGGAAAAGCAACTATCAGATGTATCCGTTGCCGCTTCTTCAGGACGTCCACGGCCCACTTACGCTAAGCAAAGGACTTACTTGAGCGAAATGGTCGACAGTTTGGAGAGTTATCCGGCACCGAATAGCCAAACGTCTTCTCAAGAAATCTATTCGCAGGCTGTGTCTTTCACTAGTGTGGCCTCACGGATGGAGCTAGACACCGGTGACAGCGATGAGGCTGATGCTTTCAGTCAGATTAAAAGCATTCACGAATTGAGGCGTGGAGGTGCGCTCAGAAAGTTCGACCTGGATTTAGACACCATCTTGGAAGACGTTGAATCAGGATCCAAGTCACGGCGCATTTCAGGACTCCTACAGCTTATTCCCAAGTTGAATGAACTCTCTTCCCTGCGTCATTTTCAAGACTCTAATAATCTCCAGCGCCTTCTGGATTGTGCAAACGGATCCTTGGATGAGGTCAGCGGCACGTTGGTGGCCCTAGTCCTTCACTGCGTAGTGTTGGCTGAAAGCTCATCGCCGAGGGTCGTGCTACAGATATTGAACACCCTTTACAAGTTATCTCCACGTCTGGTCTCGGAACCCAAATCACTAACCAAACTTGCAAAAGACCGAAGTCAGAATCTCTCCAAGATTCTTGTCAAAGATATATCAGAGTTCGAGGAGAAAAGGTCGAGACTTTTGGGCCAACCGTGTATGGCTGTCAACAGGACCATACTTGGTTCCGTAGAAGCCGCTCTGCGCAATCTCATCAGTCTCAAGGAACCATTCCCCACGCTTCCACGAGTTCTCCTTGACGAGATTCTCTCGACCTTTGCGACGACGCTGGACATGGTCGAAGGGGGAGGGATGGCTACACAGTTGGAGACGATCCAACTCTTGCTGTCTTTATTGGAGATTGCCTGCGCAACAAACCGCGGGGCGGCTGGGTCTAGCTTGTCGACCGTCTGTGTCGCCGAACTAGGTGAGAGCGTGGCCAGTGTCATGAAGGAGGCTCGTCAGTCCCAACCACAAATTGAACAATCGTGCCTTAGGCTCATCGTGAGCTTGAGTAACAATGACGCAGCAGCTTGTGACGCTCTGGTTGATGGACGCCTCATCAACACTGTTTTCCAGGTGATTGATGACCGCTTTCTGAAGCTAGCGAGGCATGCGGAGCAAAAGCAAGAGTTTGACCATGCACAGCTCGAATCTGTGATTCTGGCCGTTGGGTGTCTTCTCAACTTTGCGGAATGTGCGGATGCCGCCAGGGTACGGATGTTGGGATTGATGGCAGATGGAAAGAACATGGTGGACCGGCTGGTAGACATATTTAACAGCCATGTTGACCAGGCGTCCGAGGTACGAATCCCTGACTGGCCGCAAAGATTGCGAGACGCTGACTTTGTACAGGCCCTGACCATTGACCAGACCCAAATCCTCGTCGCTTTTGGATACATCTCAGCGCTGCTGTGCACACTGTGCCTGAACCCCACTGCGAGCCATCGAATATCCCAATCCATCAACGGGAAGGGGCTTTCGCCATTGTTTGGGGCTGCGGACACGTTTCTTGATCACCTACAGACGGTGGAGGCGGCACTTGGAAAAGAAGACTGCTCGCCAAGGGGGTTTACAGAGCGGTTTACTACGGTGCTCGAGACAGTGAAGCAGCAGGCGGGGTGATGTTTCCTTCTCTTGTATTCGCGAACGATACGATATACGGGATATGGCATTGGGTACAGGCTACAGAGTATTGGGACATGTCCTTAGTCGACATGTGGTTGCATAGAAAAGTTGGACGATACCCCCTGAGTATTGTGTTTGCTGGATAGAGAGGTCGGTGCATTTGCCAACCGTGATGAGCTGGTTCGAGTCAAAGATCTCTAGCTCACTAGGTACCTGGCTGGATTGTTCTGCTTGGAGCTCACCCAGACCCCGCCGCTTTCCCGCCCCGGCCCTGGTAGCGTGTAGCGGTCCCGTTCCTGCGCTAGTCTCCCGACCGGGAACGTTGGAATGAGAATGACAATGACCTACTGTAGCTCGCTAGCTACTCGGTATGGAGTAGATAAACCTCATACCATAGATCCCCAAGGATCGGATTGCAAGCGCCTTTATAATTTATGAGCCGGGAATCCCATCAAATATCGGAGACCAACAGTGTCCCCCCCCAACCCATTCCGCTTCTAGCGTAGCCATATACAATGGCCTTGCAAGTTTGTACCAGATGTCGCAAGAGAAGAATCAGAGTGAGCAATGTCTGACGGTCTTATACCCATAAGCAACCGAATTAATGGCTTACAGTGTGATCGCGAATTGCCAGCCTGCAAAAACTGTCGGCTGGCCGACGTTGATTGTACGTTTTGGGATGACTCTCTCGGTCAGGAGATATCATGCAGGTCTGTAGGTATTGTATCTCAAGTTCGGCCCGTCAATGCCAACCCAAAGCCAGTTACCTTCACTCGCTCCAGCAAAAAGTCCAAAGCCTTCGGCTGGAGATACAGCAGGTTACAGATCCAAGAAGCCTCACCTCGACCGCCACCGCTTACCAGGCCGATGTGGTCCCTTTCTCCAGAGAGGGTTCTCACTTGCAAGTGGCCGACCCTGACGACCTCCCGACTCCTTCAGACACTGCTTATCTGGGTCCCGGGAGCTCAGCTCGACTTGTCCAACGCTTCTTAACAACCACAACCAACTGGCATATAACCAACAACATTCAGATCCCAAGGCATCTCCTTCCGAACGGTCAATCCCACTTGACCGGGCTTCAAGCACTTCGAGTAGTAGTGCCTTCTTTCCCCATCAACAATGATCTGCGAAAGGTAGAGCTGCATTCTCTTGTGCCGCCTTCAACACAACGAGTCATTATTGAGCATTACTTGAAAATTGTGGCCCCGGAATATAGCTTGCTTCCTGTCGAACAAGAGACCGTCTTGTTGACACATGAGAATCCTCTAAAATGGATCAGCTCGAACAAGAATCATCCTGCGGCGTCTTCGTTGACCATCGTGTTTGCCATCTCCACCGCCCTCATCACTCGGGATCTTGATGCCAACCTGGCGAATGTCTCCTTGCGAAGCAAAGAGGATATTCAAAAACTATCTCTCGGTGATGCGGCGAGTCAGGGCCACGCGACTGCGACCAGTTGGACCTGCGCCGCCTTATGTGCCCTCGCCTTGATCGAGTTAATCTGTCCAACATCTGGCCAACTTTGGGACCTCCTGGGAAGAGCCGCGTCGACGATGCAAGACCTGCAGGAAGGTTGTCTGCTTAGGCGCTCGGATCTAGACGCGGATTTGCGAAGACTGGAGCGTGCCCTGCTCAAACTAGAGAGGTACTCTACAATCACCGCGACGAGGTCCCGGGCTAATATCACTTCTAATAGCTTGGCTACGATGCATTTCGGACGTCCTTCATTATTCTTCGACACTCAGATACAGCTCCATCTCGAAGGCGTTCCCGCGGCGAACTTGCTTTCGGACGAGCTCTACATCGCAAGCTGTCTGCACAGCATTTCGCGTGCGCTGACGACCGTGCCTGTCCCAACCGAAACGTTTCTCGAGGCTCTAATCCCCTTTCCTCTCCAAGTCATGTCCCTTGGCTCTGAGATTAATCTGTCTTCGGCAACGCTCTATACAGCTTTAAACCCACTTTTCACCGACCCGGACAGGTTCGCTGGGGGTGGCATCCTGAACATGGCATCCCCAAGAATGGCTCACATAATTGCCAAATCCGCCTCTATCATCATTGATCACTTCAATCTGCTCAACGAAAAAAATTCCATCATCAGCATTTGGCTGGCTGCTGAGCGAGTTCTCGAGGCCGGAACCGTGTGGGCGGCTAGTCTAGTCCATCAACAACGTTTAGCAGGCCTAAGGCCACAACATCTCTCTGCCACAGGGACTGATGTGACCCTGGGTCCAATCGTCAAGGTATCCGGTCTTCTGGCTTCATTTGCAGCGCGGTGGAAGGTCGGGTCAGTATACGTGAGTACCTGGGAAATCGTGGTTGAATCCCTTTGGAAAATGGTGTGAAGCGTGGCATATGTCTACCTGATCACTAAACTCTTGAACAATTACTGCTGCGGCTATTGATCAATCATGGACTTTGCAGACGACATGCCTCTGTCAGCTGGCATTGCCGTCAACACCTCGCAAAGGCACGAGAGCCCCTACCTCAAACGACCAATCTACAACTGGAAGATCATCACAAGGTCTGCCGATCAGTACCTTTCCTGTGCAGCTCTTCAATTCCATCATGACGCACGCCAGAGTTGTCATCCTTTCCATTCCCACCGCATCAGCAGGCCTGTCTCTGCAAATCGCAAATGGGCTTCCCTCCTCATCTGATAGTTTCTCACGAAGCGACCGAAACGTTGTCGTCGCATTCTTTTCCCGATCGATGTCAGTCAACTTCTGAATGCGAGCCAACCGCAGGAACGAATTCGGAGCAGGATGATCTACCAGTTTGGCGGGCCGATTCGTCCCGTACAAATGGTTCGTGTGTGCCACATACCCATTGGTAGGCAAGATCAAGACATTGCCCCTCGGCGAGCATTCGATGTTGACATGCTTCCCGGTTCTGTCGGCAAAAATATAATTGGCCGTACACGCCAGGCCAAACTCGTCGATTATGCTAAGGGCGTTGTTCACACTCCTAGCATATTGCAGAAGACGTCGTGACATGACATGGACGGGTAGATTGAGTTCGTCGAAAGCGCCAGATCGGAGAGCGTTCATGCACAAGCCGAAGCCAGCACTATTCATCCCGATCTTGCCCACAATGCCTGCCTCCCCGAGAAATCTGAGAGCAATGTCAGACCCAAGAGGTTTGATATACAAGAATACCATCCCCTTGTGGAGCTCCTCGAGCCAGTCCCAGTTCTGGGCCAGAAAGATTTCCCCATCTTCTCCAACTTGACTGATCGACGTACACCCGTCCGCGTAGTTCGTCAAGCAAATTTCACTCCGAACGTTCAGAGTCAAGATATCTTCACAGGTCAGGCCACCACCAGCGCCGTCGGCGATCCCTCTCATCTCCTCCAGAATCTCGGGATACCTAGCCTCAAGCGTCGGTACGAATTGGACGACAGCTCGTTCTCGTGCTGCCTCCCATGAAATTTTGGCCGTCTCCTGAAAGAAGCTGGTATATGTGGCTATGTTGGTGTGCACTTCGACACCAGCAGTACTGCCATGTTGAAGGCCAATCTCGTAGGGAGTACCGGAGCAATGGATGGTCTTGACAGACGGGTGATCCGTTGTGGCTCGACATTGGACGGTCATCTTCGCAGTGGGATAATGTTCACGTCCACCCAGTGGATAATTTCATGAGCAAGCCATCAACCCACTGGCATTCAACCTGAAACACCATATATACGCAAACATTGCCTGCCATATCAGAAGATATAGCCCTTCCAATATGTTACCCGTGCTGGTATTCGGTCCTCAGTCACACTTGCCAGGGCCTGCGAGCGTCGCCCACGTGTGAAAGCTGAATCACCTGGTTGTGGACTAACGGATCTCACCGAGAATCAGCTTAACCTCTCGCCTGAACCCGGATCTCCAATGGTTCGCACAGTGGCCAACCACAAGATTCGTTCGGCTTGACCATGAGTGTCAAACGCAAGGACTGGGCCCTTCGATGGCCGAGGAGCCTAGTTCAACCCGTCGAATGCCAAGGAACTATACAAAGAAAAGTATCGTTTCTGATTGACTCAATAGGTGCTCTCGGACCAGCAAAGTGACCGCGTTGGCAGGCTAAGGGGTTTCGGCCATTTGCCTCTCGTACCAAGGAGAGCTCTCCTAATCTCTGCGGTCCGGTTTCTACACCACCATGAACGGATAGACCCCCATATCTGGCTACAGCTGTGTCAGGCCTTTGGATATCCTTCAAGACGAGATCTGAAGATTTCACTTGAGGGGCGTGTAAGCGTCCCACTGATCCCACTGGTGGTCATTGAGGTACATTCCCACACCTTTTCCATCCCGTTTCCAAATCTGACCATCTTTCATGACGAAGTCCACCTTTCGTAAAGCATGCTTATCCTCCCGTGGGTCTGAATCGAGGGCGATAATATCGGCTCTCAACCCTTTGTCAAACCAGCCGAATCGCATTCCACACAAATCTCCTCCACAAGCCTCCCAGCCTCCAACAAAGCAGGCCTCCAAGGCATCTTCCAGCGGGAGACCAGCATCCCGCATGAGCTCTATCTCTCTGACCCCCTGACCATGGGGATAAGGACCAGTGTCTCCTCCACAAGCGAACCGCACACCTACTTCGTGAGCCAGCTTCGTCTGCCTCTTGATCTCATCGAATCGGCGATGATGAACCCGCTCACAGACAGCGAGGGTCGGACAAAACACGGTCCCTTTCTCTTTCATTAGTTCAAACAGCTCCTTGTCGGCGAAGTAGGCGTGTTCAATGGTATGCACTCCGGCTTTGACGGCGATCATGGCTCCCTCGATAGTTCCGGCGTGACATGCCACAGGCGCCTTACCCATTTTCGCTTCCTGAACAAGAGCCTCGACCTCTTCCTGTGCGAAAACGAGAAGGTCCGGGTTGGGGTCCGCCGGAGGGTGCGTCACACCAACAATATAAGGATGTTGCTGTGCTGGAGGGTATCGCATAATACGGCGGCGATAATCGGCAAAGTATTTGATCACATCTGCACCGGCGGCTAGGCGGCGCCTCACCGCCGTTCGTACGTTATCTGGACCATCGACCGCCTCGCCTCCCATCGGCAAGCACACACCGCCTGACGAGTTCTCGGTGCGAGGCTCATATGATCCCGTGCTGGCTAGTGCGCGTGTGGCCACGAACATTCGCGGTCCAGGTGTCAGGCCGCGGTTGATGCAATCACGCAGTTGGGCGTCGCCTTCTCCCATTGATTCCGAGCTTAGATCACTGGATCTCGTCAGTCACATGGAACGCGAAGACCGCATTGTGAGGGCGAAGCTCACCGATAGGTTGTGTAGCCCGCAAGCAGAGCCGTTCGGCAGTGGTTGGCGGCGCGGACTATTCGTTCGACAATGCTTTCATCGCGCTTCTGGAGCAGGGACGCACGTTCACTATGTTCCAAATTAACCACTCGCAAATCCTGAAAATTTGATAACAATCACAACCGTACTCGTATGAGTGAAGGAAAACATGTGTATGCGCATCAACAAAGCCCGGCATCACAATCTTCCCTCGAAGGTCGACATCGCCTTCTGGCACAGATTCGCCTAGGGATCCTGGTGCTCGTTGTACGACTTCCACGATCAAGCCGGACTTGGGGTCGACAGTGACGGAGACATCTTTAACGAATGCCTTCTTCTTGGGGTCAAAAAGAATCGAGGCGTGAACAGCATATGGTGTTGTCATGGCGGCTGCGACGCTTGAGCTTTGACCCGTGTAGGAAGAATGGGCACCTCTTTGTAGATGGCATTCATATTTTTTTTATTTTTTATTTTGCAGCAGCATTTGCCAGTGTCCAAAGGTCACCTTTTCAAACCGATTGCTGCGGTGAGGGATCTACAAGCCTACCGGAGATACCATGCTACTTCGAGAACAGTTTTCCGACTGACAAAGGTCGAGACCGCGATACAGCACAAGGTACACATTTCTGGGCCTCCTCAACGGTGGAAGCCTAGCTCGATGAGCAGCTCCTCGCTCTACTCCGACATCTTGGCCCCATCGAAGGCGCAAATAGCGGAGAAGCATGGGTCGGTCACAGTCGCTAGGGCGGTAGACGAAAGTTCGCTCTCCTCCGTCCGAGGCACGGGCAGTCTTTGGGGTTGATGGGTTTAGTTAGCACGATGAGTCTCTGCTCGCAAGCACTCCATTCATCGTGGTCACTGATGCAGTCTGATGAGGTCCAGAGTCGACTTTGCGCTTCATTGCGTATCGATTAGAATCCATCCTTTTTCAGAGATTTTATCATGCGGTCGCTATCTACGCGTTCGCCAAGGTACAAAAGACCTTGTTGCCATCAAGTCTGCAGATCCAGATTCAGAATTATGTTGTGAAGAACTTGGTCATCATGTCAATATCTGTCCTTGCAACAGGAGACATCGTTATCACAGACAAACTCAGTCGCCCGACCGGCAATGGAACCATCTACGATAGATTGCGGAGGGCGGATTCGTGCTTTGCAAATCTCGAAATGCCATTCAGCAAGGATGGGTACCCTGCTGAGAAACTTATACCTCTGAAATGTGATCCTGCTCAAGCCGATGTCATCCGCGAACTTGGCATCGATGTTGTTACGTGTGCAAACAACCACGGTATGGATTTTGGCTTCGAAGGGCTGCGGATGACTTCCCAGGCCCTTGACACCGTTGGTGTTGCCCACGTTGGCAGTGGAGAGAACGTTTTCGAAGCCTTTGCGCCTGTCGTTAAAACACTGAATGGTGCGAAAGTGGCATACATTGGGGTCACAACCACACTACCGAACGGCGCTGGGGCTGGGAGGTCACGACCTGGACTTGCGGGCGTACGGGTCTTCAGCAAATTCGTCGTCGACTCCGTCACAATCGATGAGTCTCCGGGCATGGCGCCGTTCGTGGAGACGGAAACATATAAACCAGATGAAGAAATACTTCTGAAGACCATTCGTCACGCGAAGACCCAGGCAGATGTTGTCCTGGTAGCGATCCACTGGGGCGTCCCCTACGGATGGGTCCAAAACAGTCAAGACGAGATTGCAACCTATCAACAGCCTTTGGCTTATGCTATGATCGATGCGGGCGCATCTGCGATATTTGGGCACCATCCGCATGTTGTACAGGGCGTGGGATTTTACAAGGGCTCTCCCATCTTTTATTCCTTGGGAAATTTCATCTTTAGCAACAGCATCGTTACTCCCTCCGATGGGTGGCGGAACTACCCCCCATATAGCTGGAGCAGTCTACAACAGACTTTGTCCAATATCGGGGCTCTTGCCAAAGTTTCCTGGGCAGGAGGAAAGCTGGCGAGCTGCTCACTCGTTCCGGTCACCCTTGCTGAAGATGGTGAACCTCTTGAAGCTAGAAGCGAAGATGCTGAGGTGCTATTATCCCGATTGAGCACGCTTTCGAAGGATTGTGGAATCGAATTTGACCTGAGGAAGCAAGAAAGAGGTTACGAGATCCTCATCTCCAAAATCCAGAGTGTTAGATAGAGCGAACGCGCCGACTTGACTCAATGTTTGCCGAACTTCTAACCGTTTCCTGGGGCTGTGCCTGGTCGAACGCCCCATGCTGCTCGCAGTCCTGAACTTTAGGACGGATGCGAGACGATTTTCGCCTCTCTGCCCTGTTATTGTCCTATCTACAGGCTGTAACCAATCTAGAATCGCCAAATCTAACACCGCGCACTTCTCTCAAGAACCCTTGGGGGGTGGTGGACAAGGCCCCGTGCAGGTGGACTAGTCTGTCTTCTCTCCAACGTTACCGAGCACTCGGTAGAAGACGACGGTTGCCCTAGCTCGAGTAGTCTATTGAAGGCTATCTCCGCGGCTAGTGCCAGAGGTGGCAAGGTGATCTCAAGCCACGAACTAAAACCTTTGGCGGCTTCGTCTGTCATGACCTGCAATTCGATGAAATGCACTCGGCACCAAGGAGTCTGGTTGAATTGTCAGCTCGGCCCGTGTATGGTTGTGCACAACATGTTGCTGATCTACAAATGCCACAAGACCTCAGACATTAATGGCGAACGCTTCCAAACCCCTCTGTTGAAATATTGAGCTGATTTGTAAAAGCATTCGATATCGCCTCCTATATACGCAAACCTGATAAGAAACGGGAGAGCCAAGTGAACAACACAAGGGTCGAGATTGGGCATTGCTCCTTGGAATTGTCTTCACAGACCATGATAGAGGCAAACACATCGACAGTCCAGGTGGACGACGGCGTCAAGTTGCACGTCAGACTTCTCGGGGGCGATTCGACCGGGACGAAACCTCTACTCATCGGCCTTCATGGCGCACCAGGAATGTTTACTCACGCAGAACCGGAGGCCTGCTTCAGTCACCTCTCTTCTCTTTTCCGAGTTCTGGTGTTTGATGGCAGAGGAAGTGGTGCTTCAGACATGATCGGGCCTTACTCTCATGAACGCTGGATGAAAGACATTGAGTACCTCAGGTGCTTGGGTGTGCCACAGAGATATGTTGCATGACTAACTGGTACGGCAGGGCATGGGCAGGAGCAGAGACGTTTGTATTGGCCGGCCACTCATATGGGGGCTTTGTGGCCCTTGACTACGCCGTCAATTATCCCGCTCGTCTGCGTGGCTTGATATTGATAGACACCTGGACAGTTGGAACACTCGGAGCAATGGGAGCTTTGGCGAACATATTGACGTCGGATAGAATCAAGGTGGACAAGGCCCGTCAGATCCGAGTTTGGTCGGGCAACCTCCTTAGCGACACGGACTTTGAAGAAGCAATTGCAGAGATGCTCCCCTTCTACGCCCCTCCCGAAGACCCGTCGAAGAAAACAGCTGGCGACACGGGTGATCAGCCTACGTCTGCAGCGTTCTTCGGACCAGGGGGCCAATTTCATTCCAAGACCCAAAACTGGGCTTTCAGTCAAAACATGCCGCGCTTCGACGTTCGACAGCGACTCAAGGATATCACGGTAGGCATCTTCCTGCCCTCCTAATCACGATGGCTGTTGACTGTCTGACAAATGCTCAGGCTCCTACATTCGTCGCTGTTGGGCGCCATGACTATGTTACACCTGTGAGCTTCGCGGAGGAGATTGCCAGAGAGGTCCCGGATGCGCGGCTGGAGGTATTTGAGCATTCAGGACACAGTCCTCAATCGGACGAACCCGAGAAGTTCCGCGAGGTTCTACTAGATTTTTTGAAAGCTAGGATTCTATGAAGTATGTCCACGTACACGGTATAACCATAAGGACGGTGGTATAGGAAGAAGCTCGTGCCAGCAAGCCGGGGCACTTACGTACCCGGTTGGCAGATACTCAATTGAGGCCCCTTTCTCCATCAAATCGCTCTTCTGGCCCGGTTAAAATGCCCGTACTCGGCATGACTTGGATGAGTGAGTTAGTTCCGTGCAAGTGGGTGAACTGGGGTCAGGGAGGCTCCTCCGCCCTGTCCCGAAGCGGGCCAGGCGGGCCCAAAAAGCAATGTTTTCTGTACTCGGTAATATAAATGGGTGTTTGCTTCCACAATAACTGCACCACACTTCTCCTATGTCTGATTGATGCTGTATATGCTCGCCAATAGTGATTATTCATCCCGCTGGTTGAGACCTCTTGCAGCGCCTGAGGAGTTATGCCCTGCCGTGCTGCTATCTATCTTTTGACTTCTCGCTCCACACGGAACTGACACTTGGATACGGTTTGACACTGTTCACGAGCTGCCTCGCATGAAGGAACGCCCCTCGATGCCGGCCTTCGTCGTGCGCAGTCACCAATCTGATATCGATGGCGTCCACCTCATCCGACCCTTCGAAGAGACACCGCCATAGCAAAGCCTGCGCACGCTGCCGGAAAAGAAAAATACGAGTACGACCCAGTTTCTTGACCTCACACGCTTCATTCTCACGAGGGCTTCTAGTGCGACTTCCATTACCCGACGTGTGGCGCATGTTCGGCTGTAGGGGCCACATGTTTGGGCTTTGACTCTGTCCATGGGGTCGACAAACCTCGAAGCATTGTTCGAGATCTCGAAGACCAAGTTGGACGTTTAAGCGTCGACCTCGCCGCCGCAAAAAACCAGACCTGCAGCATCGGGGACACTGTTGGTGGCACAGTGGAGAGACTGACAACCCGCCTTGCGATAGTGACCGTTGAACCCACGGGGCGACCCCGCAAGCAGGAGCAGCTTCTTCCGCTTGTTTCGAGTTATTTTCTCTCCGACTCGCCATTACCATATTTCAACCGTCAAGCCCGGGATGCTACGAAGGGTGCCGAACCTCAGGTCCAGTCGTGGCGGGCCATGGCGATTTCTTCAATCCCTCGCCATGTTGTGGACGCCATGTTAAAACATTACTGCGAGACATACCGCCCGCAGTACCCTTCGATTGGAGAGGACGACCTGTACAGAGCCAGAGACAAGATGTACGAGAGTCCGCAGCTTGTTGGCTACGATGCGTTTGTGATTTATATCACGTTAGCCATCAGCTCAAATACGCTCATGCATATAGATGAGAAACGGGCCGCAACAACTACGGACGGCCTGTGGGCCACGGCCATCGTGCACCTAGAGCAAGTTGGCACCACAAGCTCATGGGAGCGCCTCCAGGCCTTGCAGCTCCTTACCCATTATGGGTTCCTGAACCCCCAACATGTAAACGTCAGTCACTGTGCTGCTGCTGCTAGCAGACTGGCCTTCCATTCCGGCTTGCATGAAGAATTGCCAGTGTCGACCCGGATGAAACCGGAGCCTTCCATTCTGAATGCTCGACGAAGGATGTTCTGGAATGCATATGGTATTGACGCGTGAGCAATTCCTTTGTCGTTATGTTGTGCTCCAACTCTGATAGATCCGGTAGCGCAGCTCATAGCGTCCGCTGTCAACCTTTTAAGTGGTCAAGACCTGAGATCACGGCCAAGGTACCTACCAGCTACTCCCACGCAGACTGTCATCGAAGTCGACTGACACCCAAACCCAGTTTCCTGATTCCGAGTCTCAAGCGATACCAACACACTCTGCTCATATGTGGTCGTTACGAGAGATCGAGTGTGATATCACCTTAGGCTTGTACTATCCTGTCTTTGCACACCAAGCTTCCAATGCCGATACTTCTTTCGAGTCCTGGTATATAAGCATACAAGCGCGGCTGGAAGACTGGTATCAGGCCATTCGCCAAAGCGTCAATCTGACGGAAAAGATTGAATTCCATGAATTGTTGTTTCAAATTCAGGTTTTAAGGTTGAACCGGCCTTCGCCTCGTTATCCTACGCCAACCAAGGAGATGCGTAAAAGGGCTGTCAAAGCGTCTATAGCCTTGATCAAAGAGTACAGCGTGCTCGATCGGCTCGGCAAGATGTTCATGCTGTGGCACGCTGCTCATTGTGTCGTCGAAGCCGGTGTCTATCTACTTTCGTCTGTCTTGACGGGCATCGAATCCAAAAGCCAAGATCGCCGACATCTAGGAGGAGAGGACATCAATATTTTGGCCAGATACATCAAGACATTTCCGAGTCTCATTTGGAAAATATCTCGCCGCTGGCCGAGCGTTATGCCCTACGCCTCTACCCTGGAAGCCATTTCCGCCTCAGTCTTGGAGAATTTGCACCAATGGTCAGATGGACAAGACTCATGGAGCTCTGACTTCGTCTCCCTGAAGGAAAAGCTTGATCAACTGACCCTGTTCTCCCCAACACCATCCAAAGAACAAGCTCCAAGAAGTTTTTCACCACAGTCCGGCGAAATCGACCCGTACCAGGGATTAAGTACATTCTCTCATTTGCCGGGGCAATCTTACGCTATTTCTGAATCTTCAAATTTCCAACTGGCAACGACCGGAGAGCTTTCTTCGGTCAATTCCGGCTGGTTGGGCAGTCAACCGGGCCTGGAGCAAAGCGTTCCTGTTTTTCCAGAGTCCTACGCCCTCGAGTACGGTGACCCAATGGCATGGGACTTTTCTGGAATAGATTCAGAGGAGATTTTCGCTGCACTACTTGAGCAGGGACAGTCAGATACCCTGATGCTTCAATGACGGTACCTTCGACACACCGTCAGCTTGTTACGAGTCATGTTCTGTATGGCAATGATCTAACATGGATCTTTAAGCCTTTGACATCAATAAAGCCATTAAGAATAGGACTTGATATACCTCCACGAGCTTGTCGTCAAAGCTATCGCTTCCACTGTCTAACTTTCGAAGAGATCTATGGCAGTTGTTGACACTGCTACTTGTTGCTTCGTGTTGGCTGCCTTAGGCGCCGTGGGGCTTTCCATCAGGTCATGGTTTCTAGTCTTCACTTTCATCTTGCCACGGGTGTCTGAGTTGTTCGCCTGCTTGAGACAAGGGCCGGTTGAGAGGATTTTGTCAGCCTTACGGCCCAGGATCTCCATTTGATCTACCGACCAATTCTCAAAGTGGGCAACAATCGTCATCCACAAACCATCCTGCAGAATGCTCTACCATTACCCATGAAGCCTGCGATGGAAATTAGGGTAATACCAGCTACAGAACATGCGTTGAACCTAGACCTTGCCTCTGACGGAGACAAGCGAAGTATACTGATCGAGAAACGTTCTCTTGCGTGCAGCGGATTCGGCGCCACTCACCATGCTCGTTCTAGGCGATGCTATACGAGGTACCTAACTGCTAAGGTAGCGGGAGGCGGCTATCAGCGCGAGGTCATCACTTATCAAGGGGGAGTCCCGTGCCCATTATCTGAGGACCTCCCTCCAGGCACGCTTTTCGAAGGGTGAAGATGCAAACGCTGATGGTGGTATGTCTACCGAGCGTCGTGTAGACTCAGCGCCGTCCTTTTCACCACAATGTCGCCAGATGGAGCTCTGAGTATGATGGGTGAAAGATTCTGGGCGCCTGCAATCTTGACGCCCTCCCTTCATAAAGGGTCAACCCTCCTCTCACGACAGGTGGAAGCCCACGATTTGTGCATCTGGAACACTTTGGTTTTCCATCATGGCTCTTAAAATTCCAGGTCTCCCACCCCTTCATTTGCACTCTCCATATTGGCAAAAGAAAGTTCTCTCGGATGTCAATACTCGCATATTTACTGACGTGTAACAGTGTCAATATGGGAGTCATCATAGGCTTGACCGCGGGACTCTATCAGGCACTCAACCTACTTGGCGCCGGTGGTGGCAAGCCGAGCTCCTATGAAACCGTGCAAATTGTGAACAGCACACTTTGCGCCATTTGGTTTTTCTCCTCCGCTTTTGGTGGCACCGTGCTCAACACGATTGGGCCTGCTCTATCATCCTGCATTGGTGTCATTGGTTTCATCCTCTACGTCGGCGGACTATGGTATTTTGATGCCACTGGTAGGAATTGGTTTGCAATCTTTGGAGGCGTTGCCATAGGTGTGAGTCCAAACATCCACTTGAATTTGTTCCGCTGCTAAGGAGGCAGCTCTCCGCTGGCCTGATCTGGGTTACCATGGGATCGATCGCCATGTCATACTCGGAAGAACAGGAACGAGGCTCGTTCATCACCATGTCGGTCAATTTACAAGCCGTAGGTGCGGCCATTGGGGGACTCATTCCCCTCGTCATCAATCGCAACCGGACAGATGTTGCGGGCGTTCCAACGGCTGTCTATGTCATCATTCTGGCCATGATGGGCGTCGCCTGTCTTCTTTCTTTTGTTCTGCGAGATCCTTGGAAGATTGTCCGGGATGATGGGACACGACTCTTCACAGTCAAATCCCGTGGGTGGATTGAAGAGCTGAAATCTAACCTAGAAATTTTCAAGGACTGGAAACTCCTGGTCATGGTTCCAGCGTTTCTCCCTTCAGAGACTTTCCTGGTTTACTCGGGCTCGGTCAATGCTTATCACAACAATCTGAGGACAAGATGTCTCCTGTCTTTTATGGCAGTCGTTTTCCAGGTCCCCTGCGGCTATGGATTACAGAAGATCTTGGACCACAAGACCTGGCCTCGCCGTAAGAGAGCATTCATCGGACTCGCTGTTGTGAGCACGCCGCTGATAGCTTCTTGGACCTGGGAGATCATACGCGTTCGTGACTATGACCGGCGCAACCCACCAACCAATCCTCTAGATTGGAGTGAGCCACGATTTGCTCCTATTTTCATCCTCTTCGTGATGACTTGGGTGTCGAGCGTCCTGTTTCAGTACATTATTCTCTACTTCCTCAGCGCCATGACAAACTCACCTCGCAAGTCAGCCGTCTATGCGGTGAGTTCCTTCTCCTTTCTGCCTTGAAAATGTCTCGACTAATGATGGCACGAAGGGGGTCTACAGAAGTTTTCTCGCCGCCGGTGAAGCCATCTGCTTCGGTCTCGACTCCATCGCTGTCCCCTACATCAAGGAGGCTGGTACGATCTTTGCGTTCTACGCTACTGGGGTGATCGTCTTCATTTACTTGGCAGTCTTTCACATTACCGAAACCGAATATTTCACCGGCGAGGAGGGTGTGGTCATACCCAAGCATGTCGTCGAAGAAAATCCTGAGAAGGCAGCCGATGCTCATGTCGAGATGACCACTGCAGGGCCCCAGCAAGAAACATTCCATGAAGAGAGCCACAAGGAGCCGGCGGTCTAGAACTCGAGGCAGCTAACCGGAAGCTTGGGCCTTGCCACTATAGCCAATACCTCAAGGAATATATGCTGGTCTGCTAGTCCATCCCCAACACATTTGAGTTCGCCGAGTCGCCGTGTTGATGTTGGAGATGTTTTTGAAATAAAAGAAACGAAAGAAAAAGGCGGCTAAGTATTCGACGTTATAGATGTGTATACAATATCCTACGTCGGAGATGTGGAGTCGACGTTACTTGGCCAAGGGCGAGCAAAGGACCCCTGGTCGACATGCTATCATGAATCTGACGTACAGCACGAGTCGAGACTGAGCCGATATCTTGCCATTATGGTTGAGTTTGCAAGCCTGACACGGATATCGATGTTTAGAGACCTCCTGACTGACAACTAACTCGCGTCCGCCGGGGCATCTCATCTGACGGTATTTGGACGGGGATAAGCGACGAGATAGGGCCCTCGCAACGGAGCGACTCCGTTGCACGTTATGCCACTCTACCCCTAATTGCACACCTGGAACTTTCCCAGAATCCTTGGCCCGAAGCTCATAGGGCTTGATCGGTCCGTTTTCAGACCTGGTGGTAGCTTAACCAACATTCATTGCAGACCTGAACTTGGACGCGTTTGGCCCAAAACAAGACGGACTACAATCGTCATCTATTCTGGTAGTTCTTGATTTTGACGACCCCACCCGCAAGTGGGCCAGTGGGTCTTTTTCTAGGTTCGGTTAGATTCACAAAATGGACAAGGTACTTCCAGATCAACTTCAACGTAATTCATCTGTCACAACGAAACCAATCGTGGCTTAAAGTGTTTGGATACAGCGCTCGGATTGGTCATTCTTCCTGAGCAGCATATGTACCTGTGTGAATGCGCAAACAGTCTAGGTAGAGTGCAAAGGTCATACAGGTTGAAGACATCGGAATGCTGATCAGCGAGCTCAAGCGATTCTCGCCCTTCCTTAGTTATATTTGTAAGGGTCGAAAACACGTATCGAGCATTGAGCCCCACCACGAAGTATAAAACTCCTTATCAACCTGTCTCGCAATGCTTCAACGACAGAGAAAGACACATCGACCTTCGTCCTCTAGACAATATCTTCGTCAATAGCTCATCATGGCTGGCGAACGACTGTTCTCCCCACTGCAGCTTGGCAATGTCACGCTCGACCACCGCATCGTCATGGCACCACTGACGCGGTATCGAGCGGATGAAGACGGCGTTCCAATCGATATTGTAAGAGACTACTACACTCAACGCGCCTCAACTCCGGGCACTCTCATCATAACCGAAGCGACACTCATAAGCCCCCGAGCATCCGGTATAGCCAATGTGCCAGGGATCTGGAACTCCAGACAGATTGCTGCCTGGAAAAAGATCACAGACGCCGTCCACGAGAAGGAATGTTTCGTTTTCCTTCAACTCTGGGCGTTAGGCCGACGAGCTGACGCTCAGCTCCTGCAGTGTGCTGAGGGAGGCCCCTATCCGGTGGTCAGTGCCAGCGCAATGCCTGCCGAGGACGGTGCCCGAGCGCCCCACGCCCTGACGCCAGACGAGATCCAGCTTTTCATTGACGATTTCGCTTCTGCGGCCAAGAACGCCATGGCTGCAGGTTTCGATGGCGTCGAGATTCATGGAGCAAACGGCTATCTTCTTGACCAGTTCCTCCAGGACGTTTGCAACCATCGTACCGACAACTATGGCGGAAGTATTGAGAACCGTGCTCGTTTCGGACTGGAAGTCACCCAGGCCATCATCACGGCGGTCAGCGACAGCAAGAAGGTCGCGATTCGGCTATCCCCATGGACTGATTTCGACGGCAAGAGAATGGTAGATCCGGTGCCTCAGTTTTGCTACATGATTTCCGAGCTCAAGAAACTTGGTCTCGCCTACTTGCATCTCGTCGAGAGCCGCTATGCAGGGGACGTGGCGACAGCCTCCTACCACGTGCTGACACGACGGAATGATCCATTTATCAAGCTCTGGGGACCACTGACTCCCATCATATTAGCTGGCGGGTTTACGCCCGAAACAGCAAAAAAGGTCACCGAGGAGCTTTACGCAGACTCAAACCTATGCATTGCATTTGGGCGGTTCTATATCAGCTCGCCTGACTTGCCGTACAGGATCCGCGAAAACATCCAATTGAACCCTTATCTTCGAGAATCATTCTACTTGAAGATGAGCCATGTGGGCTATACCGACTATCCGTTTAGTCCCGAATTCATAGTTGCTAACGCGCAGAAGTTGTCCGGCTCCCTTTGACGCTGGGTTAATGAGATGCTCTTTACATGATCTCCATCCCAAATGATGCCGCAAACTCATCTTGATTTGCACTCTCCCGGGTTCCGACTTAGACAATCGGAGCTGTGGTTGGTGCTATGCTTTTTGTCACATCCCCCCCCGGATGACCTCCGTAGTGCCCCAAAACAACACCACTCAACTTTCGAGCGGTGTACGTCGTTGGCAAAGCACAAAAAGCTGCCGGCCCTCAGATGTAGCCGAACTCCTTGAGGATCTCTGATGCCGTGTACGACCTTTTGGCTTCTCGCGACACGGCGAGGCCGGCAATCAGCGTCGTGTTAGCGCCAGCGCTAGGCTAAGTGCGTGCTATCACTTAGGCCATTTTCATAATGCGGGTCGGCTGGGCATCTGAGCGCTCCTGAATCCTGATATCGATAGCAGCCAAGCTCCGAATTGTACAGCGATCCATTCGTGGCCTGGGAAATCTCGTGGGCTATAACCATTGTTTGCAGTCCGGCCTCGTGAGTGGTGACAAGGTGTCTTGCTTCTCGGGTGTTTGATTACGCATCGTCATGAACTCCCGTGGTGATGAACTACTTGCGCGAAGGGATGGGTTTTAGGGCAGCTTCTGTTGCCGGCACCACATTTCAACAACGTCTTATCCTGCGTTGAGACCGAGTGTCACATATGGCCATCGAGCTTCCGACGAATTTGTAAGTTCCATTTGGTATCTTCCTACCCCTTTGTCTGATACACGGCGTTTGCTAAAGTTAGACCTGCACTATGTGTTTTCGGTGACGCCTGTCAGACCTCTCCTTTGCGGCTGAAGTGACAGAATTCTCCTTTCCCCAGTCGATTCGAGGCCTTCTGCAGCTTACTGTTGCGTGATTTGGGTTCTCTCCCACCAAAACTTACATTGCTCATCGTAACAAGTCTCAAGAGTTAGCTCGGCTGGCGTCCCAACGTCTCCTCCTATCAGCTCCCTATTCCCTTTACCCAGGATCATGGTGAGAGGGCGATCAGGAGTGTACGGCTCCCACGTGGGACGATGCTTGTACCTCCCGCGTAACTTATTCGGATCGCCACCGTGGCAGATGAAGCTTGTCATATAGGCATGGAGCATACCCGCCACTTCCTCTTGACCACGAGACAGTGAAGTTGTGGCACGATCAAAGGTTTCGTATCCCAAGTTATCCGCATGGGCGGCACCGCCATAGAGCGTGGTAAATACGTCCCAGTGGTAAAGGTACACCGGGGGCGCGTCTGCCATCGACGAGGCGAGATGTGCTGTTTGCCGGACTGGTGCAATAAGAGCGTACTGACCATATGCGGCCTCCGCGCGCATGTACTCTGCTCCAATGTCTTTACCCGTCCTCTCGTCTTGGTATGTCGGATCCCCAGTCAACGGATCTGGGTATAGGTCATTCAACCGAGCAATGTCTTCTCCAGGTAGGCCTGGAAGTAGAGTTTGCATGAGCCGAGTGAATTGTTCTGGGTGCGATAGCTTCCGATCCACGTATAAAGACCCTTCGTTTGTACAAAATCCGGTCATAATGGGAATCTTGTAGTACTGCCCGCGGTGCCAGCTCTCTAGTGGTGGCTGTCGAATGATGTCTCCATCTATGACTGGACGGAAAGCCCACTGCATCGTAGGCTTGTATTTGTCGAAGACAGCATCCTGAGCACTGGTGATCGCGGATAGGGGTAATTTGCGTAGGTAGGCAAAGGTGTCACGAGCCGTAAGGTCTTGTGGACACCCTGCGTGAGCCAGAAAGTCTGTAAAGTACTGTTCGATAATTTTGGAGTTATAAGGGCGGCAATCCCTTGTGGTGGCTGAACCCGACTCAATTATAGCTCGGTGAAAAGGGCCAGGATTTTCATCGCTATAATGAAGAATAAGATGCCCAATCTACATTAGCATTAGAGAATGTCCACTTCGATTTATCTCATCTTGTACTCACAGATATTGCTCCCGCGGAAAGTCCAATCAAAGTCACGTTATTCTTATCGCCGCCAAAGGCTTGGATATTTTCCTGCACCCATCGAAGAAGGAGTCTTTGATCTTGGAAGCCAAGATTGAGAATTCCTTCCTCCGCCGATTTTTGCGAGGGCAGGAAGCCAAGCGCTCCAACCCTATAATTGAACGAGACTGCTATGAAGGGTTCTTCAGACCAAGCGACCATGGACGTAGTGTTGTGCATGGAGGAGTTTCCGCGATTGAAGGCACCCCCATGGATGTAGACCGCTACTGGCAGGAGGTGCCCCTTGCTTGACTCGAGCCTCGGCCTAAAAACGTTGACGGTCAAGCAATCCTCACCGTAGACCAGAGGGATACGGGGTGGAATCAGGGGGTTTCCAGGGGCTGCTCTACCATATTCCGAGGCGTCGAAGATTGCCGACGACGGCTCGACCGGGACGGGTGGTCGAAATCGAAGGTCTCCGACTGGAGGTTGAGCATAAGCGCAGCCCAAAAAGCACTCTACCGGCTGAGGTAAGCCATCCGTTTGCACAATTCCCTTCAGCCTGCCTTGTGGTAGAGTCACCAATGGTCGATGGAAGTCTTCCGAAATCGAACGAGTTGTCTCGTTTTCTGACTTTATTGAAACCCCGACGTTATTCATTGTTGCACCAATCTAGGGATCATAAAATTGGTCGGTATTGAGAAGGAAGAGAAGTTCTATCTGTGACAGAAAAGCCTTCAAATACCCCTTCGAACACCCTGTTGACGGTGTCGGAGTGCCAAGAGGTCTCCCATATTACCCAATCGAGTTAGTCCCACACCCATCCGTCTCCGTAGGCAGAGCCGACATCTACCCAAGACAAGGGGATCGCACATAGCGCGAGCTGATCATTATGTCTGCTCGCCGGATAAGAACAGCGCCATCGCCGCGCTTGACCTGGGTGATTATGCAATCACGGCAGGAAGCTCCACGACACATTTTGAAGGCAACCCGTGCTTAGTTAGCTTTGATTCCTACAATTTGCTATTCTACTTCTACTACCACCCAGCGTGGTCTCCGCGATCACTCCGCGTGATAAGCAGTTGCTGATACAATATGCGGGGACAAATGGCTCGAGAAGTTTGACAACGGAGTTGAGCCGCAGACAAGGAACAACGCTAGGTTAACCCCTTCCTTCCAGAGCCAGTGGTTGGTGAGGACCGAGGTTGCACGACCAACAATCTGTACGATACCATGGAGTGAGCGACAAAGTCGTGGAAGAGGTTCGATCCAGCGTTGATACCAAGGTAATTTCCTCTTTCTAGACGTACTGTGTGACATTTCTCTAGTCTCTAAGCTGCCTCCTCCAGCCTCAGGGCCCTTGGCAACAGAGACGGACGAGTCTCTGCACAGGTCCGGGGAACTCTCAATCGCTTGACCATATATCCCCACGACTCAGCTATAAAAGAGCAATCAGGTAAAGACCTCTCCAAGTCCACATTCCCGAGCATTTGCTCTCCGCAAGCCCAAAATCTGTGCTCAATCCGACACCTCTATGCAGGTTGGCATATTGCCAGCAGCAATGCCCTGGACGTCAGATGACCTGAAAGGTGGCGTGGCTGCAGGAGAGCTCTTTATCGAGGAACAACCTGTCAAGGTCGCCAAAGAGGCCGATGCTGCTCTTTCTTTCACTTTGGGAGAGACATTGACTTACGATGAGGTTGAAAACAAATGTATCCGGCGCACCATCGATCGTCATATCATCCCGTGGATGTTCTTGACTTTCATGGTGCAGTATTTTGACAAGACGCTCCTGAGCTATTCTTCAGTCATGGGCATCATTGAAGACGCCGAGCTAACATCCTCAGAATATGCCTGGTAGGATGCCTCCTACCTATGCTAGACCAGGGTTAAGTTGTGCTGATCAGATCTTGCAGGTGCGGATCCATCTTCTACTTTGGATACCTGGCATTCGTCTATCCCCACAATCGATTGATGCAACGCTTTCCCCTTGCAAGATATCTATCCGTCATAATAGTAGCATGGGGTGTGGTGCTTTGCCTTCACGCAGTTTGCACCAATTTTGCCAGTTTGATGGTGGTTCGATTCATCCTCGGCGCTCTTGAAGGAGCCGTCACGGCCGGTTTCGTGCTCGTCACGGCGCGATGGTATCAACGTGACGAGCAAGCAACACGAACCGCATTTTGGTACATTGGAAATGCGGCAGCCCAGATTGGAGGTGCTGCCCTCGCATATGGCGTTGCGGCAGGATTTCTCGGCAACCCCAGCATCACATTTCCCGGCTGGAAAGCCTTGTTCATCCTTTCGGGTGGTCTCACCTGCATCTTCGGCGGCTTCATGTTCTGTTCCTTCGCCGAATCTCCTCTTACCGCCAAATGGCTCAATGATCATGACCGACACATTGCCATTGAACGTCTTCGAGTCAATCAACAAGGTATCGGTAGCAAGGTCTTCAAATGGCCACAATTTCGCGAAGCGTTCACAGACCCACGGGTAAGCGATTGACCTGACACTGGATGTCATCTTTGAGCTTGCTGCTGATAGTATCCTCCAGACTTGGTTGTGTTGTGTTTTTTGTGTCCTGTGGCTGATTCCATCCGGAGGCCTGACCGTCTTCTTTGCGTTGCTCATCAAAGGTTGGGGATTCGACTCCAAAACCACACTCCTCATCAGCATGCCCAGCGGTGTGACCCAAATTGTCACGAATCTTTTCTTTTCGTACCTCGCCGGCAAGCTTCGAAATCGCATGTTGACGGCGAGTTTGGCTATCATGCTCAGTATACTCTCTATCGCTATCATGGCCGGTCTGTCCAGCCACGGCCCGACAGCTTACCGCATGGGCCAATTGGTTGTTTATTATATCATCTTGGGAAATTCTCCGTCCCCTCTGATTCTGATACTCAGCATTGTCAGCACCAACGTGGCAGGATACACAAAGAAGACGACAGTCAATGCATTGATCTTGATCGCTTACTGCGTCGGTTTCCTGATCGGACCTCAGACGTTCCACGACCCTCCATACTATATGAAGGCAAAGTATACTATTCTTGGTGTCTATTCGGCCTCTCTGCTGTGTATCTTGGGGCTTTGGTGGATCAACTGGCGAGCGAACAAAAGGCGAGACCTTAACGCCGCCGAACTTCCACCTCAACCAAACGGCCAGGAATTCTTGGATTTGACGGATAAGGAGAATAAGTATTTCCGTTACGCGATTTAACGCTTGAGGGCGATAGGATCTGATCATGCAAAAGACGGGCGTCCAATTTTGTCATCCTAATTCTGGGTCAAAAGCATTCCAATCCGAATGGTTAGGGGTGCTTGGCGTACAGTATGTTGCAGAGCAGGTTCAAGAGTCACGTGTCTAAGCGAGCTGTGTTCGAGCATGGGTTACCTCGTCTGATACCCTCGTACGCCCCCTCTTCGTCTGGCTCGCCTGTTTAGATCGATGCCGGCCAGCGGCTCCGGTCGTTTCCATTTGATGTTGGTGTGAGTATACGAGGGTTAAGTTTAGGGCAATGTCCGATTTTAGCCGGTAGCATGTAGTAATTACACTAACAAGCAGGTAGGAATTTAGGCAGTAGCGTGAGGGCTGGCCGATCGCCAGGGACCAGATTAGGCTGGTGAGGGCCTGGGCATGTTTTGCTCCGGCAGTCCTCAGGCAGTGCGCAAAGGAGTGCTTAGCAGAGAGCGTTCATGACGGGCGAGCAAAGGGCGGTATCACCCTTGTCCCAATCCGGGCTGAGGCGCGAGCGGTTTTTGCCTACAGTAGGTAATCATCTTGGCGGCGGGGAAGACACCTTGCACACCTTTAGTGTGCGCAGGGCTCATGTGTTGCGACGTTTCCCCGCCGGTAGCGAATACATACTTGTACTAGGATTGTTCGTGGCCCAGAAGGCCTTCGGGCGAAAGCAAACAAAATCAAGTCCGGCCGTCATGCTTTTCCATCTTGCATGCTACAACCTCGCAAAATGTCGGTGAAGTTGGGGCCTAATGAGCCCAGGTCCTGGTTCCCGGCTCCCGGCTCCTGGCTCCTGACTCTTCGCCGTATTCCTCCTGCTATAGCCTTTACCGGCCTATACGTACCGTCCCTTCCCGATCCTCATCCCATCACTGACCGTACTGACCGCACTGACATCACGGCGACACGGCAAGCGCGGCGACAAAATAAACCTTCTCACGCTGTTTCTCGTAACCGTTTGGTCCTTGGGTACTTGGGGCTCCGCCGCAGCCCGTCATCACCCAGTTCTTATTACCTATTGCTTTGCTCTATTTTGGCTCTCGGCTTGTACGCGATATCTACCATGGCCTTACCTTGTCCGTCGCTTTGACACTGGCGATCATTTCTTACTTATCATTTTCCTCTCCATGCCACTTTTGGCGCTAGAAAAGCTGCACACCATTTTTCTGCGCGAACTAGGATCTGGGCTGGGCTCATACGGCCCTGACGCCATACTCTCGTTTTCCCTTCGAGGAAAAAATTAGAAAAATACACCCAGATTTTCTGTCAAACCATGGCTCCGTCCATCAAACAGCGAAAGATTGCTATTCTGGGCAGTAGATCTGTCGGTCAGTCCCCTCCGTCTGAGTCGTTGTTGTACTGCGGAACAAGATCCAGGCCAAGGCGAAAATAGTAGGGCCACAAACTGACACTTCCCCTCCCCGGAGCGCAGGCAAATCCTCGTTGACCGTCCAATATTGCGAAGGGCACTTTGTGGAAAGCTACTATCCCACGATTGAGAACACGTTCAGCCATGAGATTGTCTACAAAGGCCAGACATTTCTCACCGAAATCATCGATACTGCCGGACAGGTACGAGGCATCATTCTGCAAGAGGATATGCGGACCTTTTTAGAGGAGGCTGACGCTTGGTCGGGGCACAGGACGAATACAGTCTCATGAATTCGAAGCTGTATATCGGTATCCATGGCTACCTTATTGTCTACTCGGTGGCCTCAAGGCAATCCTTCGACATGGTGAGGATAATTCGGGATAAGCTTTTGAACCATCTTGTACGCCACCGTCAACGAAGCCTCTTCACCCTCCCTTCAAAGCCATGCTGACGTCTGCCTTCAGGGCGCCGAGTCGGTTCCCATCATGATCGTCGGCAACAAGAGCGACGTCGACGCCAAAAAACAACGCAAAGTTGCGGCCGAAGAAGGGCAAAAGCTGGGCCAGGAACTCCATTGCGGTTGGATTGAAACCAGCGCACGGAATAACACCAACGTGGCAAAAGCATTTGAGATGATGATTGCCGAAATCGAAAAGTCGCAGGAACCCGACAAGCCTGCGGGCGGTGGGAAGTGTGCAGTGATGTGAAGAGCAGCAGTTGCACGACTTGTGAGGGTCGTCGAGTGGACAGCGAAGCCCACCGCGCCGCCTGGGGCTGTTTGATTTCGGGGAGTTCTCTTCTGTCGCTTCGGTTCTGGTTGTCTCAATATGTCAGATCGGGCGTTCTTGTGGCTGGGATGCTTTTGGCCTCAGTTGGGCATTGGGAAATATCAGGATAGACATCGATGTGTTTTGCTTTGCCAATAGGCGTTCGGTTTTGGATCGGTTCCCGTCACACTTCCATTCCGCGGGACGAAGGGAGGTGAGCGCGTCTTCTCAGAAACGAGAAATGGTTCAGTCGCTCGTAGAGCGAAGGAGAATGTTTGCCGGGTCGGTTTTGCTAAATCCTACGATAGACGAAGAGATGGAATTGGCTATGGTTGTGGCACAACAGCTAGGATAATATTACCCTGTACTTGATATTCTTCACCATCCGACTCCCTTGTTTAGCTGATGCGTCTTCAATTGTTGCTGTTAGGCGTCTACTGTTTACTGTTTCTGAACTGGCACATGTTATTTCCATCGTCGGAGTGGCTCACGAGGCTCCGCAAATCTCGCGGGGTTCATTCGAAAGGGGCACAACCCATTTTACTAGGGGGGTCGACCACCTGTCTGGAGTACCACACATGCTGCTGGCAAGGACAATCATACTCCTACACAGCACCGTCGGTTCTAGTCCCTTTCTTTGCTTCTAAATCCTGCGCATTTCCTATCACCATGATTGAAGTCCAAGACCTCATTGTCTCCAGGTAAGGCATTTCTCACAACCTCAGGGCGCAGCTTGGCTCACCGATCCGTAGAGGGGGAGATCCCCAAAAAGTTATCGACAGCCTGCAAAAGCGGTACGCCCCCACCGAAATTGTCGACGAGGTCATTGCACTCTGGAATGATGCATATCAGAGTCTGTTTCCCTACCTCTTGGGGGAGCCGCCCTAATTCGAGGCTACAGCGCGTTACAAGGCCAGCCAATTCGGCGCAAAGATCAATGCGGTCCAAAAAGAGATCGGGCAGCTGAAGAAAGTCGGTGGACCACCTTCGTGGATACTTTACGAGGACCCCCAGACTGATGGGCTGAGGTGTACAGGCAAAACAAGATGCGGACCACCTGCTGCAAGAAAAGGCGAATCTAGAGAAAGAGAAGAAGAAGATCGAAGAGGAAGCCACCGAGAAGGAGAGGTTGAGAGACCGCAAGTGCAAGTTGATTGGCAACTACGTGCACGACTCGGTGCCGGTCAATGACAACGAGGTCAGTTGCGGCCAGTCCACATGCTGCGGGCAAGAAGACGGACGCTCACTGACATGGACGTGTAGGACTTCAATGAGGTAGTTACGAAATGGGCACCTGAAGGCTTCACGGAAGAAAAGCGTGACTGTCTCTCCCACCACGAAGTCATGACCCGCGCAGAAGTCTACGATGGCGAACGAGGCGTTAAACTCGTGGGCCATCGAGGGTACTTCCTTCGAAAATGGGGGGTTCTGCTTAACCAAGCCCTCATCAACTACGGCTTACATTTCCTCGTCTCCAAGGGATATGATCCCCTCCAACCGCCATATTTTATGAAGGCAGAGTACATGGCCAAGACCGCGCAGTTGGAGCAATTCGACGAAGAGTTGTACAAGGTCATTGAAGACAAGGACGCAGAAGACAAGTTTCTTATTGCGACATCCGAACAGCCCATCTCGGCAATGTTTGCAGACGAGTGGTTGACGGAGAAGGACCTGCCGAAGAAGTTTGCAGGCTACTCTTCGTGCTTTCGCAAGGAGGCCGGTGCCCATGGGAGAGATGCATGGGGGTTGTTTCGCATTCACCAATTTGAGAAGGCAAGTCCTTTGAATTATCTCTAGAGAAATCCGCTCAAGTGTGCTAATTGGCGCCGTCCAGATCGAACAATTCCTCTTCGTCAAACCCGAAGAATCCTGGCAAGCCCTGGAAGACATGAAGTCCATTGCCGAAGAGTTCTATCAGTCCTTGAAACTCCCTTACCGTGTTGTGGCGATTGTCTCGGGCGCACTCAATAATGCGGCGGCCAAGAAGTACGACCTGGAGGCTTGGTTTCCCTACCAAAACGAGTATAAGGAACTTGTGTCCTGCTCGAATTGCACGGATTACCAGACGCGGGAGCTCGAGATTCGGTACGGACAAAAGAAAGGCGCCATCGACGCGAGAAAGACATATGTTCATGCCCTGAACGGGACGTTGTGCGCCACGGAGAGAACCTTGTGTTGTCTGGTGGAGAATTACCAGAGGGAAGATGGCATTGAAGTCCCCGAGGTGCTAAGACGGTACATGCCTCCTGGGACGCCGGATATCATTCCATACACAAAGGACTTGCCAAAAGATACGGTCTCGACAAAGGGGAAGCAGCCAACAAAGCCAAAGACCGGAGGAGGTGCTCCTGAGGGTGGCCCCAAGCGAGATATGCCGGCGGTGGAGAATGTCGCGGATAAGATGAAGGACATGAAGGTATAGGAGAGTGCAAATACGAGCGATACGTATGATCTGATTTGACGAGCGACGCACGCATAACCCCAGCGGATGGGAATGGGCTGAAGAGGAAAGAAAGCTCCCACCAAGAGTGAGAGAATAGAGGTTTCATCGGGCGTCCACAGAGGACTGTCAAGGGTCGAGCCAGAGACAATAGAGCAAGCACACAAAATGCCTCGTCATGGTCATGCAGCAGCTAAAGTCGACCCAAACATTCTATGCATTGATCTTGCATCTGGAAAAGCAAGCATCACCCTCTTCGAAGCCCTTGAATGGGCTCGAGATGCTATTCAGGGTTGCGCCAATCAAGGGGGGCATTAAATGCCGAGGGTTGAAAAGTGCTTCACCGTAGTTGTTTTTACGCCGAAAGCCAAAATGTTCCGCAATATTGAGCGCCAAGAAAATATTTCCGCCCACATACCGCAATCGACTGCGATATCAAAACTTCTCGCCCTGCCCACCCTTCGTCTCTACCTAATTCCACTCACCATCAGCAACCTCCTCCGTTGCCTCCAATCGGACCTAGACAGCTTCATTCTGCGACAAGAGACCAGTCGCAACCATGGCTGTTGGAAAGTAAGTCCAGCCCGCCGCCCGCAAGTCATCGTTGTCCACTGTGGGACGGGGAAGCGACAACTTCATGAACAGCAGAAACTGACAACTTTTTTCTTGTTCCCCAGAAACAAGCGATTGAGTAAAGGAAAGAAGGGGTTGAAGAAGAGAACGCAAGATCCCTTCACCCGGAAAGATTGGTATTCGATCAAGGCTCCGTCCACATTCAACCAACGAGAGTACGTGCATCCCGATGTGCCCCCAGCAGCATCCACCGCAGAGAGACGGAGAGGAAACAAGGGAGGAAGAATAAAATCAAAACTACACAATGAAAAGCCCGGAGGAGACATCTATTGACATTTTGGTTCTCATAGTGTCGGCAAAACCCTGGTGAACCGCACCACGGGTCTGAAATCCGCCAATGACGCCCTGAAAGGCCGCATCTTCGAAGTCTCCCTTGCCGACCTCCAGAACGACGAAGACCATGCCTTCCGCAAGGTCAAACTCCGGGTCGACGAGATCCAGGGGAAGAACTGCCTGACCAATTTCCATGGACTGGACTTCACCTCGGACAAGTTGAGGAGTTTGGTGAGGAAGTGGCAGACGCTGATCGAGGCCAACATCACTGTCAAGACCACGGATGACTACCTTTTGAGGCTGTTTGCGATTGCTTTTACCAAGCGCCGCCCCAACCAGATCAAGAAGACTACCTACGCGGCCACCTCGCAGATCCGGGCCATTCGCAAGAAGATGACGGAAATCATCCAGCGCGAGGCCACCAGCGTCACCCTCGCTCAATTGACGGGCAAGCTCATCCCCGAGGTCATCGGGCGCGAGATCGAAAAGTCCACCCAGGGCATTTACCCGCTGCAGAACGTACACATTCGCAAGGTCAAATTGTTGAAGGCCCCCAAGTTTGACCTTGGCGCGCTGCTGGGCCTGCACGGCGAGAGTGGCCAGGACGACGAGGGCAGGAAGGTCGAGAGGGAGTTCAAGGAGCCCGCGCCTCTGGAGAGCGTCTAAGCTGGGGGAGTGCACAGGGGTTTCGTTGGCGTGTTACGATGAACGGTGTGGGGAGAATGCTTCTAAAAGTCGTCGTCATTGTCGGGGGAGAGAGGAAGAGGAAGAGAGCCCCAGGAAAAAAAAGAAAACGAGCACATGATGATGGCCTTGGAGGTCCCTAGGAGAAAAGAAGACAACCCCCCAAAAAACACGAAAAGCATAACTAAGAAATCCTTTACGAGCCTAAGTTGGGGTGGAGGGGGGTTTTTGATGACTGAGAAAGAGTGCAAGACAGAGAGGGGCGTGCATTGAACCGAAGAGGCTCCTTCTCGCCCCTCGCTCTGAATGTGTGCCCCAGAGAAGGAAGCATGAGAGAGCAGTGGTAGCTAGTTACTTGCTTGCCCCTTTCAGAGGAAGACAACCAGAGGGGTCTTGTGAAGACATACCGATGCAGGTGCTGGAATGGGATTCGTGCTACAAATGTAGACCACTGGGCATAAACAGGCAGGCATTAGGCACGAGGCAAACGACGCCGAATGGCACAAGCATAAGCAGAAGGCAAGGTATTCCATGTCCTCTGTAGGGCACTTTCTTCCTTTCCTTACCTTGGCTTGCGCCATCTCTATCCCTTGAGCTCCTCTACAGCGACCCAGGAGTATCCAGCTCATCGTGACAGTTGGAATAGCTGGCCTTATTCCATTCTCCCCTTTCTATGCGTCACGTCCCCCCCCCTTTTTTTTTCTCCTTCTCTCCTCGAAAACACATCTCTCCACCCCATGTTATTACGTCTCGTCGACAACCCTGTCAACCCACTCCACAAGCGACCTCCTAAAGTCCTCAAACTTCTCACTCATCACCCAGTGCCCGCAGTCGAAGTCCAGAAGTTCAAACTTGGGGAAGAACCTGCCTATCACCGGCAACGTCTCGTCCGCCACGTAATGGCTCTTTGTGCCTCTTACAACAAGCGTGGGGCCTTTGTATTGTTGGGTATCGGGATCTTTGAACGGGAAATCGGCCATGTCGGGGAGGGATTTTGCAAGGGTGTGAAGGGGGATCCGGAATCGCAGCTCGGTCTCGTGCTTTCCTCTGTGTCCTCCGTGGTGCGGCCCGGGCGACGACGTGCCGTGCGATTTCTGTTCATACGATCCTCCGGGTGTGGTGTGGACGGGCACCTTGACCAGATTCGTCAGAAGGAACTGTCGAATGGCCAGGTCCGGCTCATATTTCATGAGGATCTTATCCGCCTCGCTCTGTCTCTTGGGACGGGGTCTCATTTCGTCAATCTCCCTCATCGCGTCGAGGTATTTGCTGAAATCACCCTTCAAAGCTGCGTCGACCGGGGCGTTGTCCACCGGCACCAGCGCAGAGTATTTCTCTGGCTGGCGGAGCGCGAGTGTCATTGCGACTTTGGCGCCCATGGAATGGCCGATCAGCGTGGGGGAGGTGATTTTGTGAGTGTCGAGGAAATGTTCCACGTCTCGTGCCATAGCCGTGTACGTGTGCACAGGCGAGTGAGGGGAGTCGCCATGATTGCGGAGGTCGATCGCATAGACGGGACGGGAGAGATCTTTCGCTAGGGTTCTGTATCGTTGAAAAGACGTAACTCGTTAGCAGCCGTATGCCTTGGCGGAAGGGGGCAGAGTGAGGTGCCTCCTTACTTACTCAGAGTCCGATTATTGCGCTGCGACCCGAACAGCCCGTGCATGATGATTAGAGGACCGGGACCCTTGATGCTCGTCTTCTCTGGCGGGTTATGGCGGTGGAACGCCAGGTCCACGAAGTCGTCGTGCTCGTGCTTCTCATGGCGGAGACGATCGCGACAAGAACTTGAGAGATGCCGGCGACTAGGCAGAGTGGTTTGTCTTGAAAGAGCGTTGGGAACCGGGATTCGGCGCATTTGCAGAGTCGCTGTGAAGTGGAAACGGGGTGAGTGGGCGTATAGAGAGTGTCGCGAACAGGGAAATGAGATGGAATGGTCTTAGTGTTTTACTAGAAAGGTCCTCATGTTTGGGGGAAAAAGCTGCAGAGCTGGAGGAAAGTTGAGGATTAGCTGCTGTTGGTACATTTTCAATGCTCAAGTACAAAATTGGCTGCAGGATGACGTCGGCTGCTCAGCCTTGCGTTCCCAGCCTTGTCACCCACTCGCTGTATAGCCCACCCATTTTTTTCAAAGGAACCCTTTTCCGACGAGAACGATTACCTTCATGTCTGTAGTCGCAGATGCGTTTGGTCGATGGCCTTTCACTCCATCTGTACTGCAGTCCTCGAGACAGGTACATGGACACCCATCATATCTTGCCGTGCCCGGTAGATCGGAGTGTCTCTTCTTTGTCCAACGGCCCTCGTTCTTCATCTTTACCGGCCAGCTCCTCGTCAAACTCCACGTCCTCTATGTCGGAATCGAACGGATTAGACTCGATATTCAAGTCGTTCCCCAGGTCCTTGCGCGTGGCTTGTCTCCGTCTCTCCCTGATTCTGGTCGCTTCTTCTTCAGAAAGTGTGACCCCAAACAATCCCAAGGCTTGCTGGACTTCATCAAGTGTCATGCGGGCCTTTCGTCGCGCCTTTGCGCCACCCCACTCGATTTCTTCGCGCAGCCGGTCATTCCCGGAATCCATGATGGCGAGGAAATTTTCGCGGACGCCACTCAACGCAGAGATGATCTCGTCCGCGATCATCTCCTTGAATGCACGCATGCTGACATTTGCGTTGTCCTTGGCGATGTAGTCGCTTGATTCTCGAGACTCCGTCACGTGCTTCAGTATCTCTACCAGGTTGGATACTCCTGGCCGCCGTTCCGGGTTGAAAGAAATACCAGGTTCTGAGTCTGTCACGGCTCCCCGGAGCTTGGCGTGGATCTCCTCGGGGCTGTCCGTGATTAGAATTCGAGATTTTGGATCTGGGTCAGACTTGGACATCTTCTGCTCCGGACGCTTTAGGGACATGATCCTTTTCGCGGGAGCTGCGTTGTGTCAGCACCTCAAGACAGAGACTTGACCAAGAGACCTTACAGATTACCGGCCAAGGTATTCGGAATACATTCCCACCCGAGGACTCCTTAACCAAGGCATTGAAACCCCTGGCCAATGTCCGGGTGAATTCAATGTGTTGGAGTTGATCTTGCCCGACGGGGACAATGGATGGCCTGCTCGACGTCAACGGGCAGCGACAAAAGGTGGAGCAAGAGTTCGACTGACTGATATAGTAGTATATCCGCCGCTTGAAGAACGGGATATGAAAATAATCCGAGCTTGAGCTTCGCTGTCGCTTCATCGCTTTCGAGGCTGGCATTTTCCGGCAAGTTCAACTTGCTCTAATGGGGTCGCCGTTTTCAGTGTCACTCTGCAGGATCACACATGTAGAGTTGCTGCGTACCTTCCACTGAGTCATTCGGGACAGATACCCTGTTGAGGCAATGGTGCTCAAAATCCACATCAAAGACGTATGCTGCGGGACCTGTGATTCGATAAGCTGATGTTGAAATTTTCATGGCAAGCACGGTGCCTACATCAGACTGGAAGAACAGCGTGGTATTCCTGTTGTTGTGCAAACCAAGAGCAAGAAGAGCCGCATACGACTCTTTCCTGAGACGTAAGCGCTCTGTGGCTGGAGTGTCCGATGTCAGGGCATGCAAGTCAACCACTGAAAAGTACTGTTCATAACGATAATTGATGGCGAATTTTGGGTCGGTGGACTGGTCGTGAAGCCGTTTCCACTGCCGCAAAGCCCCCAGATAGTTTCCGAGGTGAGGAACTCCTGTTGGTTGAATGCCTGAAAAGGCTCGTCGTATGGTGGAAGATGGCGACATGCGCGCCCAATGTTGTTCTACTTCATCTCTCCCGCGGTCATGCTCTGTCCCTCTGGAGGGGGGATCGCGCACTTTCTTGACGATCCTAGGCTGCTTCTCCTCGCCGAGCTGCGGCCTTTTGATGGTAGCTAGCTCTGTCTCATTCGTGATGTAGCGACACTGGATCTTCCAGGGCAAATGCGGCCTCACTGATAGATGCACGAGGCCTCGGGGCATTTCCCAGAACAAAGGAGTGTACGCGTACCAAAAGGACGCTAATCGAAAATGGGTTTACAAGGGAGTTGGAAAAGAAAAGTTGTTAAAGCAGTCAGACGACACATGAATCAAGAAAATGTCGTGCTCGAAACGGGAGGCTGAGGGCGCCGCTTTTGCGATCCGCTACCTGGAGATTCCCATTTTTGGTCCCTGCCAAGAACAGCCGCCCATTCTCCCTAGTAGACCCAGCCTTGTCCAGCCTTGTCCTGTGCCCAGTAAGTCGCTAAGCAGTGGTAAAGGTATTGCTGATGGCCGTAGCAGGGACCACAGTTAAATTCGTGAAGTGGAGGGCATGCAAAAGGGTACATTTCGGAATCTCAGAATTCCTGCGATAGACTGACCTGTCTCAGCCTTTGTGTCTGCATGTGTGATAGGACGAGTTGTTGCTCGATCAATCTTCTGAGTCCATAAATCCGAAACCCGCCGAGGATTTACACGGCCTGTCCTTTGTGAAGCCTGAATCGTAGGGAATAGGTTTACTCCATGGGAATACATAACATTTTGCTGCTTGAGCCGGATGGGAGGCTACAAGTTCCATCTATTGATCAGGAGGGAGTTCGAGGGAAGGAACGAGAATGCAGGTTGAGGGGACCAAGACTCGCATTCACAATAGCACCAACAAGGGCTGCAATCTCTCAAATCACATTAAAGCGTTCCCCTTAGCTTTCATTCTCTGCGCCAACGAGCACGGCATGTGCATAGTAGCTCCTTTCTCCCTCCAAGCCCTCCAGAGCATTCCTTCATTCCTCTACGCCTTGGACCATCGTGCCTTGATCAGATCAGCTGCTTTCTCACCGATGCCGTACCTATCGCGTGTCAGTATCAGACTGCTGCATCTTGGGTAGGACGTTCATACGCCGGCATTTGAGTGTGGCCACCGTTCAAAGTAGGCATCACGCTGGTATCAGCAACGCTGAGGCCCTTTACTCCACGGACTTGAAGCTTCTCATCAAGAACGGCCATCTTGTCCTCATCCCGACCCATCTTGCAAGTCCCTGCAGGATGATAGCATGTGGTACCCTCCTTTTTGACATAAGGCACCCATTCTTCCCGTTTGGTGTAAGTGTGATGTGTTAGATCTAGGTAATGGTCTCAGAGTTGTGCTTTGGGTCCCGACGGGCTGTGTACGCACCTGATGGCCACGACCCTTTCACAACCTCTTCTTTGGCAACCTTGTTCAGGTTCATGACAATCTCGTTGCCGAACCTAACGCCCTCGGAGACAACCAGCATGTCGAGCGGGTCGGCAAGGTAATTGCAATCAACCACAGGGTTCTCGAGAGGGTCCCCGGACTTCAAAGTAACTGTGCCCCTTGAACGAGGTGAAAATAGCTCGGTTATCATGGCGAAGGCGTGTTTCTTGTCTGGAGGTATGCGGTCAGCCATTCAATGCTGCAGCAAAGTCACCTGCTCTCACCGATGGGAAATTGATCATATTGCTTAGGACCACCGTACAACTTTGGCATGTCAGCAGGGTAGTTCTGATCGAGTCATTATGGGATTGCTCACCTCGGTGGTGAAAAATTCAACGTTGGGCTGCTTGGGAGTCAGGCCCATCGGGTCACGGCCAGGCTGCCTCTTTGCCTCTTTCCACAGTGGCTCATCTTTCAGGCGATTGTCTAGCCTCGCGAAGGCAAAGGCGCCAAACGGGAACGTGGAGAGGACTCCTTCTTTCTTTTCCTTGTATAGCATATATGCAGCTGTGGCAGCGTCTCCATGGTACCTAGAGAATTAGCCAGCGAGGTTACAGTGAAGAAGAACGAGCCATACACAAGATGATCGTTGGTCAACCCTTCCTTGGAGACCTCGTAAAAGGCAAACACGATCTGTGCTGGGTCAGCCGCCAGGAGCTAGCAATACACACAGAGCCCACCCACAAGATGATCCATCAAACCCTTTCCAACTCCGGGGGAATCAACAAGGCACTTGATGCCCAACTGTTCCAACTCGGCCTTGGGACCGATGCCAGATCGAAGGAGAATTGCTGGAGAACAATATGCGCCTTGGGTCGTCAGCGACGTTCATCAAGATACTGGGCTGTTGAGGAAACTACCTCCAGAGACAACAATTTCCTTTTTGGCCTTGACTTCTCTTTTTGTGCCGTTCTTGTCGACAAGCACCACACTGGTGGCATGCAACTCGCCATTCCTCTCCTCGAAGTTGATCTTGTCCACAACGGTTTCAACCATGAGGTCGATGTTAGCTTTATGCTGATCGTTAGTCACGAAGTCCGCGCCGGTAGATCTGATACCTTTGTGGACTTGAAAGATCGCGTCAGCACCGGAAATAACGCCATACTCGTGGCAACCTACCAGTTCGGGGCGCATGGCCGCAGCCGTGGGAGGTCTCGCCGTTGCTGAACATGTCGTGCACCAATGGCAAACCCATGTCTTGCATGCTTTCGAGTAGCAGGTTCGAGATAGGTGCAACATCATGCGGCTCTGTATGGAGCGGGCCACTGTAACCGTGGGCTTTCTCGTCGGCTTGAAACCACGGCTTAGGGTGGAATGTCTCGGCCTCCTTGTCGTCAGCTGCATATTATTCGGCTCGGTCGGGAGGACGAACCTTGCGCATGTACTCGAAGAATTCTTCTCCTGACCATCCCGGAAGACTGCATCATTGAGTGGAAGTTCGGAACGACAGCATGGGGGCTCCTACTTCCAGTCGTCGTAGTCTTGCTTGCTGCCTCTGACACACACGGTGCCATTGACACCACTGGATCCTCCCAAGAACTTGCCTCGGCTGAGCTTGACTTGTCTGCCGTCGATGCCTTTCATGGGCGGAGTGATCAGGTTCCAGTCGAGTTCTCCATCGAAATTCTTCGACCAGCCACCGGTCATGTGGACGTTCTCGAGATCTTTGTTATGAGGCCCAGCCTCGACAACGAGAATGCGAGCATTGGTGTCTTCGGCAAGTCTGCCCGCTACCACACATCCTGATGTGCCTCCGCCGCTTTGGCATTACCGTTAGTCATGGCGACGGCTCACTACGGGAGTGTACTTACCACACAATGAAGTCGTACTCGTTTTCTTCAACTATCCGTCCGGGAGACATGCTGAATGGCATGCACAGAAATTGGACTCAACTAGGGATAAAAAATCAGCGGGCTCGATCTGCAGGGTAGCGCTTTGTGCTCTTTGCCAACAGCAGGGCCTGGTCTATATCTGCGACTGCCAATAGCACAAGATTACACCGTGGAATAATTCCACGCCGTCTTCAGTGTCAAGGGCCAAGCTGTGGACTTACTAGCTCGACGCAACCGACTCAACCCCCATACTCTATGCCTCAACTTGGAACAAAATGTCAGGGATCCATTGGGCCGGTCAAGGCGACTCACCCCGCAAAAGACGGACGTGTCGTTCTGGGCGCCAGGCCTCTCCACCACCAGGGCGACGCGGAACAAATTCCCCTCTGTCCTGCAGCTCATTGGCTTCAATGATGCCTTGAACGACCATCCTGTATGCATGCCCTGCGATGAGGCGTTGTGTCCAGTCGGCAGCTGCTGGACGGAGTCGTAGCTGGTTCTAGGGCTGAGTAGTCAGCCTTGTGCATCGCCATAGCCCGGTCAAGGACCTTAGCTAAGTGTCAGCTCCCCTTTCTCGACGCCTGATTGTATTCATCAATGAGGGTAATACCCGCCAGCGAGTATCCATTCACCGTAGTGCTTGCTGCTTTGGAATACCAAGGACACCCCTTGAAGACCTGACCGGCGCCTCTCCGGCCCACTGCGGCAACCAGTCACGTTACATCAGCTCTGACCGATACCACTATCAATTTTCAACGGCGCCGTCCCATTTCCCTTCTTTTCTCCCGCCTCAACCACATGCTGACTCCATCCAGACGCAGGACTCCTTGGACAACATACACAGTACGAGCTTGGCCCCATTCCGATCCCAACGTATATGTCCTTTCCACCGACCGGCGGGAACAGGGTCTTTTGCTCACCACACCGGCGACGAATGGACCCTGTAGTAACATCCGACCTCATCATGAATCCTGATGAAGATCGTCTTCTGCCTGGTGTCGGCAACCGGTTCACATATTTTCCCAGCACGGGGGTAATTTCTTGACTACGAGAGCCGAAGCGGTCTTCTTGAGACCTCCGCGGCCGAGAGCTGGATGAAGATTGAGCTTCAGCAACGTCCGCGGAACCAGACACGAAGGCGAAAGATGCGTACTCCACATGGCAGAAGCCTTGCATCTGAGTCGAGCGCAGAGAGTCGTCTCTTATGTGCGTGTAAGATGATTATCAGATCGGTGAAAGCCTCTCCTAGGTCGGCCTCCATCCTCGTGTAGTACGGCCTGGGCCCATTCAATGGTGTTTACAAGGGTTAGGACCAGAAGTGCGCCTCGAGAATTCCGCATTCTCTATCGATCCTTCATTTCACGGACGCGCTGACCGAGCTCATCTGCCGTGTTGCACGACGTCGTGGGCGAGCACAATGAGGTTGGATCTGACCCGTCGCGCCTACGGGAGCCAAGACGCTGCTATTTTCGTCGATGCTCCCTCCCCCGGGCGAAGATCTCTTTTTGGTAAAAGAGAAAAAAACCATGGGGGTTTCCGCTGCCCATTCTTGACATGCGTTAACTCGCCCTCGCGGAGCATGTGCAATCAGCAATGCGAACCCGGTCTGTTGGGTAAGACTAGGAATATGTAGGAGAATGTTAGAGTAGGAGACAGTCTGTCTGTCAGTTCGATCTTTCCGTAACTTTGTTCTTTGTCAAGAACAGAAAGATACATACCACACCATCTCACACCGCAACGGGTCTGAATGTTGTCCGACTTTTGCATCCCGCTCGCGGCGTCTATATATACAGAATCTCCCGCATCTTCTATTGCCGGTGCAGAGGGTCCATCGGATCGATCGATATATGCGGGTACTCCCCCCATTCAGTTCCCCTACTGCCGCCCACCGCGAACCAAACCGCTCTGCGTTCGGCTCTCCCATATCCGAACGGTAAAGCTTCTTACCAGGGATCCTCGGTCGTCCTGCTCTTCTCTCTAAGCTCGCTCATGCCCACGCCCTCTCGCCTGGGTCCCTGCCTCTCTAGCAAACTAAGCAAATCGTTCTTCTTGCCCGCCGTCTTGTTAAACCCGAACAGGCGCAACTTATTATCAAGTTCTTTCTCGAGAGAGGCGAAGTCGTGGTCCATTTTGGATGCGACATCTGATGACAAACACATATTAGCAAACCAGAAGCCGTAACATGCATGTGCGGAGAGTAGCCAGCTTTTAGTAGCCAAGAGGGAAAAAAAAGGAAAACAAAAAAGGTAACGAGCCGTGTAAACTTGGATACTTACCGATCCCTTCCCACCCCCAGAGATTGGCCTTCATCCCTACCCCATAAAACTGCCACCTTCTCACAAATGCCAACCACGTCTCAACAGTATCCGGGTGTCCATCATACACCGTAATCAATCTCTTCATTGTAATCCTCTCAAAATTCTCTTGCGCTTTTTTGTTCACGAAATTGCTTTTGAGAACAGTCCATCTTTCTATCTTCTTCGGGAGGGGAGTGGGACCTCTGCAGGGCAGGGAGAGGTAATACGCCGCGCGGACACAGAAGTCGGCGAAGAACTCGAGGTTGCGGACGCTGAAGGAGCGGAGTTGGAGTTGGCACACGGGGATACCATGGGTAATCGGGTGGTAGAGAGGGGTACGGTAGGCGGCGAGGACGTTAGGCGGAACGTTGGGTCTGGCCTTTTCATCTGCGGATGCAGGGGTGAATTGCCCGGACGAGGCGTGTAGAGGAGTGGATGGTGACGTGGTGGTAGCTTTGGAGGTCGACCTTGTGGGTGGCTGTGGTTGACCCTTTTCTTGTGCTTTGGACGAAGAGGCCGCATCATCAACCACTGATGAAGATCTCGTCGGCTCCGGCGTCGATGATGGCATCTGCTGTAGTTTCTGGGCTCGAATTTCCGACACTGTGTCTGGCTGTTCCTTTGATCGCTCTATTGCAGACACTGCATGCTTCGATGTTGATGATGGTGCCGCAGAGTGATCTCCACCATCATTCTTCTTGAGCGGTGATCCCTCTTCCTCGTACGCTTCTTGGATTTTGTATGATTCAATCTCTGGCGTGGGGAAGCCTGCTGTGATGTCTACAGGTCCCGTTTCTAGAGATTTGTCTCTACCACCCTTTTCATATCGTGGCGCGTCTGAACAGAAGGCTCGTATCGACCGTTGGGGATGAGATTGAGCTGCAAGTCGAGGTCGGAGCGGGACGCTTGTAGTCTAGGGATCGGGTAATGTTAGTAAACCACGGCCGGTTTGACAAGTCCAAGACGCCGCCAATTGAAAACTCGCGTGTGGCCAAAGGCACCAAGCTGCGATCTAGCAGGTAAGGGAACCTCCGTACCTTCTGAGGCCGGCATGCTTCAATAGCTATGCGAAGACATCGTGGCGCAGACATCTTTGAGCAGACGTTTCCGAGATCCTCTGCCTGAAACTGTCTTGGTCCTCACCTGAACCCAATTCCTCGAGCAAGCAGCCCTCTCAGGCAAACGACTAGGATGTTGTTCGTGCTTCACAGTCCAAGCATTGATCTTGGAGAAATGGCCAAAGACGCGATTCGACTGAAAAGTTTCAGTGGTTGTTCAGCGAACGAGAAAAGTCCCCGACCACGCGCCGCTTTAAGACGAGCTTTGCTCAGCCTTGTCAGGGCATGGTTGATAGCCCATCAAGCCCTATAACGATCTATGTACAAGCTTACAACTGTCAATCGGCATTGATAATGTGCTTACGTGCGACCGACTCACATATACTCATAGGGACTAGAATCTAGCTATGCTCTTGAGCCTCTAGAAGCCCGGGTGAGGCACAGTCCAGGAAACACGAAGCAGAGCGGCGACATGGCAATGTAATTGATTGCGTCGAGTGAAGGGGGTCCCATTCTATTCAATCATATCATTACTTCCAATGCTTAAAATCTACTTAAAATCAAGCACGCATGCCCTTGCTCTTCAAATATCGTACGACATAGAGGTTTCGCTCTCATCTCTTGACAAGGCCATTGCACAGGGACGACAGCCCGCGTCTCATTGATGAGCACCTATTATAGATTCGTCACCTCAAGTTCCAATCCTAATCAACACCCAGACTCGCCAGTACAGTTGCACTCGGCACAAAGAAGGTCGTCCCTGTCAACGGCGTCGAGTAGTCCAGAATGCGATCATGCAACCCAGGTGGTGAACCCACAAACATCCGGTCCAGCATTTGCTCAATGACCCACAGCTTCCTGGAATACCCGATGAAATAAGTCCCAAATTCTCCTTTCCCGGGCGTCCCAAAGGGCATATTGTCCCTCAAAATCGAGAGCTCGGATCCATCATCGCCCTGGACCGTGGCTAGTTGTTTGTGTGCTTTTTGTTTGTCCTCATCTACGTCGTCTAACTCGACGTTGTCGAGCTTTGTGCGGCCGATGATTGCTTCCTGTTGCTCTGTTGATAGACCTCGCCACTTCTTCAGGTCATGCACATACTTCTGTACGACAACGTAGCTGCCACCTGCGGAGCCTGCGTCGTCCACCTCCGTCACCAGGACTGACTCGTCGACAGAAGCGCCCACAGGGTTTGCCGTGCCATCCACGAAACCCAAAAGATCGCGGACGTCAAAGTAGCGGAACCCAACGGTTTCGTCCTCGACCTTGACACAGTCGCCCAGTCGATCCATCAATTGGCGCTCGAACTCGAAGCACAGATCGCGACGCTGCGCTCGGATGTGAAATAACAGATCCCCGGGCGTGGAGACTGCCGTGTGAACTTTGCCGGAAATGGTCGGGAAAGGGTGCAGCTCAGCCGGTCTGGAAACGCCCCTTAGAAGACTGTCCCAGATATTGCTGCCAATGCCGACAGTACAGGCGAAAGCGGCGTCCAGATCGCGAATAGCAACGTTCTTGGACAGGTCGTCAACGCTGGCAAGGGTCGAGCGCACCGTCTTGATGGCCTCGGGCTTGTCAGTCACGGAGAGGACGAGGAAGGTCGCCGACTGGGTGAGTGGTGCGTCGACTCGTTGGGGTTCTATTGGCGTACGACGGCTCATCTTGCTTCTCAATGTTGTCGTAGACAGTCCGGCGGCTTGTGCTTGATCAAGCAGAGACTGGGAAAATGGCTTGCGGGTGGAGTGATGTGACATGAAAACCCTTTGGTCTTTTCCTCTACCCAGTGTTGCTCGCACAGCTGCTCTCCTTGCCGCTGAAGTCGAGTACCTCGAAACCGAGTATCTAAGAAACCCGCTGCAGATACTCCGTGTCACTTTGTTCGCATTCATACCACAATCGAGCCACAACGAGACAATTAAAGATCCTGCCTTTACGCTGACCAATATACTGCAGGTACAGCTTCAGAAAGTGATGGCTTACCTTCGTCCTCCAGATCATTGGATACGTCGCGTGAAAGATCTGCCTCAATGTCTGATGACTCAGCTTGCAGGTGGGCGCACTCGAGGCTGCTCGTCGCCGCCGGCACTCCGAAGATCAGACAACATGTCACGAGTACCTCGTAACATCACTTGTAGATCAATGGAATCAATGACATGCGAGTGCAAGAGTCAAGACAAAACACTTTCGTTGCATTGCTGCTATCCTATCTAAAGGTGGTGTCTCAAGAACATTCAGCTCCTCCAAGGTAATAGTGGCCATTAATCTGTCGTACAGTCCCATCTCGTCATAAAAGGAAGGGCATAATAACAAGTCATAAACTCTTGACATCATAGCAAAGTGTCTCGGCAGTTGTCCCACGGCGTGATCCAAGCAGATGGGGCCCGCTCACAACCAACAAAGGCGCTAAGAGCCTGTGTGCCGACTGCAGAAAAGTCTCAATGACCTCTCACCACCCATGAATCCAACACACGGTGTCACCAAGACAAGAAAAAGTGGACATGAAGAGATCATCCGCTCAACCGTCAGTGGATGAGCGAGTATCAACGAAGTTCATTAACATATCAGAAGCGTGAAGTAAAGCTACGACCCAAGGATGGTCGGCGTGCGTGGTCAGTTGACGTGGTGCCGCTGGCTTGCACCGACGCCCCACCGATTTTCTGAAAACCTTTGAGGATATCGACACCTTCGTCATTGTCATCAGAGTTGTCGTTCTCGAACGATTTGAAATCGAAGAGGTCATCTTGTGCATCGAAGGCCACGCCATGAGGAGCTGAGCCCTTCAACGGTGAGCCAGTCTGTGTAGCCCGCACGCGTGGATGGAGAAGAGAACCACGGGTTGGTGTCTTCGTGTTGACCTTCTGGGCACTGCCAAGCCCTTCAGTAAGGATATCGGTGGATGTCGACGCTCGACCAAATGGTGGGCGAGAGACAGATGCTTTAAGTGGTGAAGAGGCACAGATCGGCGTGGCCGGAGTGAGACCAACGGCCGGGTCAGAAAATATTTCAAAAGATTCCTCAGGAAAGGCAGACGACGGCGCGAGACTGGCCCACTTAAGGGGACTGTAAGTCGAATCTTCTGACAAAAGAAGCCCAGAGCTTTTGATGGGCGAGTTTGCAAACTCGCGCATTGCTTTGCGGTGTAGGAGAAGCTGAGTGTTTGGAGAGACTGAAGGAGGCGGACGGGTGGGTTTCTTGAAGACAACAGCAGGAGTCATCGGATTGAGTGCGGCCGCTGGGCTGACACGAACAGGGGATGACAATTGCGCAGCTTCGGTTGTTGATGGCCGGAATCTTGCATGACTTGGAGTCAGGTCGTGCGAAGAGCTTCTGATTCGGGCGATCTCCTCTTCGGCACGACCTCTCTTCTTCCTCATAGGCTCAATATCTAGCTCCGAGGTGAGCATCACGGCATTCTTGTTTGGGCGAAGCGCAGACGACTCGATGGATGAAAAGTATCCACTATCATCGTTCTTGGTGAGACTTCGGTTCTGTCGATGAGATACAGGTGGGCGTGCCTTGCGTGCAGAGGGGGAAGAGATGGCCCGCTGATGATGGGATGCAGCCACGGGAGGCGACGAATTGATGGCATCTGGGGGAGACGACTTTGGAGCCGTGGCGAGGGCAATGTCTTCCATGTCCACAGTCTCTTGCTCATTGAGAGCAGGGTCTGAGGCTGGGAGAGTAGCATCTGATGAGAGTTCTGGCAGGGCGGGAGCTGTCTGAGGTCGAACAGGTTCGCTTGATTGGCCGAGGAAGGGGTTTGGCGCCAATGCGTCCGAGAGTTGTTGAGCAATCTTTTGAGGCTCCGAACGCATCACGTTGGCATTGATGGTCATGTGGGTGATGTTGGCCCCTCTTCGAATTCTATCCTTTATGAATTGTGACTCCATTCCTGGCTCAATGACCCAATAACTTCCCTTTCCAGCATCTCCCTTGGGCCTCTCCTGTTTGGTGAAAGCTTTGTGCAAGGATAGGTTGTGTCTGATACTGTTGTGCCAGCTTTGCTTGGTATCTTCGCGGTAATAGGCAAACGTGGTCGAGATCCAGTCGTAGATTTGTGCCAACGTTAGCCGCCGATTTGGTGCTCTAAGGATAGCCATTCCAATCATTTGAGCATAACTGTAAGAAGGCTTGTTTCCATCGTCCTCAACTGGAGGCATATCTTCCGGTTCAGGGAGATGGAAGGCGGCTTCATCGTCTTGTCGAGACTTCTTGAATGGACGGTCGTTGGGCGCCTGTGCGTCCGAGTATGATCGCTTAAGGGGCTGCTTGCGTACATAGGAAGGCTCTGGAAAGTCGACGAAGTTCTCCTGTGTGGTCTTCACGGCAAAATTTTCTTGTTCATAGGTGTTGATCTCGAAGGTGGTAAACATTGGCCGCGCCATCTGAACGGGACGATATTGGTGTGGAGGTGGAACGGCTGGTCTTTTTGCTGGTGAGTCAGTGTAGATATGGCTAGCCACCGCAGGCGGAGGGATAGGAACATAGTTCAGATCCCCGAAGTAGGGCGGTGGAGGTGATAATGGTGTGCTCTTGAGGGGCGATATCTGTTGGCTGGGTGCCATTGGCGCATCGAGGACGACGCCTGGGCGAGGATGAGGCGCAGGAGGGTTTCTCAATGGCTGTAGAGGCATTGCCGAGGGTTGTAGACGCGGTCGCGGTCTGTCCGTAGCTGAGATATTGTGTGTCGCGGCGGGTATTGGATCTTGGTAGATCTGCACAAACGGCTGCTGACGCGTCGACGACATGGTGAAGACTGGTGCAAGGGATTCACAGATACAGGACAAATCGAATGTATGAAGAAAGGCGCGTTAAAGTTAAGTGCAAAGGTTCCATTAACAGGTTTTTGGGGTCGACTGAAGGATGCAGCTGAGACTGGGCCAGAGCCGCCAGGTCGGAGTCGACGGCTGGCTGCCACCTTTTGAGAGCAGTCTCGAGCTGAGGGCAAGGGCGCAAAGAGATTTCAATCCCGACACGAGGGAGGAGGGTGGAGGTATGGGCGTGTCTGTGCGGGAGGCGATCGGAGGATGGAG